TGACTGTCTGCTTGATATGCTACCTATCGACATTTACATCAAGGTGGTAGCAAGTAAAACAGCCCAACGCCTTAGATGCGAATACTTATGGATAACCTCAGGAAACAATAAAGGGCACTCCAAAATTGTTCAGGTGGTACATAATGATGAATTGCACTTGCCTTCAGATCACATGTCCAAAAAATACTCCTTTGGAAAGCCTTTCAAAGTACTAATACCAGATAGGAAGGATTGGTCTGGCGGAAAAGGACCCATACCCACAGGTGATTTAGAATGCTATACTGATGTTTCTAAGATCAAAAATGGGGGCACTGGAGTAGGTGTGCATTGGATGAATGGAGGCACTGGCATTTGTCTTCCAATGGGGGTGTACCCAACTGTCTTTCAAGCGGAGGTCACTGCCATTCTAGTTTGTGCTCAAGAACATCTTAACAAAGATATCAGAGACAAAACAATCAATATCTATACTGATAGTCAAGCGACCTTAAAAGCATTAAACTCTTACGAATTCAACTCCAGGCTCGTGTGGGATTGTTTTGCTTCTGTGTCTGAGTTGGGTAGGAGAAATGACCTTACGCTTTGCTGGGTGCCAGGACACTCAGGCATTAAAGGAAATGAAGCTGCAGACAGATTGGCAAATACTGCCTCTGCGACTTCAATGATAGGCCCACAACCCTTCTGTGGCATCTCACGAAACAGTGCATGTTCTGCGATTGCGTCATGGGCCAAGGAAAAGCATCGCAAACGCTGGGTCGATGTTCCCCTTCTTAGGGTCAGCCAGCTTACTCTGTTTAGGCCTTCTAAAAAGGTTGCCTGTGACCTCTTGAGACTAGACAGACGAAGAATTAAATTAATTGTTGAACTGATAACTGGTCATGGAAGATTCAGGAAACATCTACAACGGATGGGCTTATATGATGGTGAACCGATCTGCAGGTACTGTGATAGGTCAGAAGAGACAGCTGATCACTTACTCTTTGATTATAACGAGCTCTTTGACGCTAGATCGATAACTCTTGGAAATATGGCTAGAGGTAGATACCTTCCTGAGGATGAACTAATTGGGAAGCTACAGGCATTCATTGGGCGCCTTAACTTGTAGGTCAACAAGAAAGCAATTATTGCGCACCCCAAATAATTCAATTTCGGATGAAGTGCTTAAAGGTCTCTTAAAGACCTGCCCCTGTCAGATAAGATAAGATAAGATCCCGAAAACAGGATTTTTAGAGCATGAGCGGGATTTGAAGGGGATGTGGGATAAAACAGGAGTTTTGGCTATGACGTCCGTTTTTATTTACTATGCTTTTATTTTAGTGAAAAACTAACCCCAACCGAAAAAATTACCTTAACAAAATATAATAGCAATGTTAAAACAACTATTTAAACGAAATATGTCCAATTCAACACTCAGAATTTAACATCAAAAATCTTAAGGGATTAAACGGGATTTCTTAACCAAGTGACCGGGATTATATTCTTTTGGTCGTGTAGAAACACTGGGAGCTCGGTGCGTTCAATTAAGCCAGTAATCAGAGGGTGATGATAGAATGTCTGTCGATGTTCGATGTTTTTTATATCGATGGTAGGTTCCAGATGTTTTTGTTACATCGATGTTTTCGTCAAACTTCAATGTTTTTGACCAAGTATTGAGACCTAGATGCAAAATGTAGCATATCTGTAAAAAATGTAGTCTTTCAAGAGAAATTCCAGATTTTTTCCAAAATTCCCTGACTTTTCCAGACCAACAAAATTCCCTGACATTTCCAGGTTTTCCAGGTTTTCCCTGACCGTACCAACCCTGTAAATGAATGCTGATGCTTGATGGCAAATCTACGCGTGCATACCTTTAATTTAAGACCAAAATTATGAAAATCGGTCGGGTAGAAGAGCCGAACGGACTCGGAAAAGAAAAACCAAATTTATCTCCCATAAGAAATGTACAGGGAGCAAATTTTTTTGCATAACTCAAGTAATACGTCAGATAAATGAATGCCGATGCTTGATGGCAAATCTACGTGTGCATACCTTTAATTTAAGACCAAAATCATGAAACTCGGTCGGGTAGAAGAGGCGGACGGACTCGGAAAAGAAAAACCGATATTTTTTAATATATAGATTTTTAGATTTACTACCACACTATTTAACTAAATGGAATGAATTGTCTTAAACCTTGAAAGTAACCGTCAATTTCCATGGGTTTCGCCTATTTTTGATAAATAAAAACACTAAATATACTTAATCACAAACAACTCAAAACCCGTTGGGCTTAGAGAAAAATGACGAATAAAAAAATGTGTATTTTTAGATGGACCACATTTTGTATATTTAGATTTTTCCTGTATCTCTATTATAAAAGTCACTATAGCCAAAAATACAGAAATATGCCATTTTCCAATATGGCGGCCGTAGCACAGCTTCAATTTTAGGAGACTTTTAGTATGTTCAAAAGGAAGGTACACCCAACATCTGTATCAAATTCCCCGCTTATGCTAATTTTTTTTAGGTTTATGGAATTTTTCGCTTATTTTTACTGCACTATAATTATCCCACAAGTTGAGCCACTACTGCTAGTTCTTTCACTTCAAATAAATGCAGGTGTGCCTCAAGGATCGAACCTAGGCCCTGCCCTGTTCCTACTGTACAATTAAGTCAACGACCTGCCTGATTCAATATCAACAGAAGAAACCTGGTCGTTTGCTGATGATTTCAGCCACCTAGTGCAAGGGTCAATAGAGACATATTCAATCTTTAAGAAAGCAATGTTCAAGATGAACAATGAAATCTGTAGTTAATGTGAAGAGAATAAAAATGTTGCAGAAAATGGTTAAGAGGAGATTTGTTTGAATATTCTGGCAGACTTTTTCTGCTGTGCATGCGCTTGGATGTGTTTTCAATTCAATGTTACTTCTCCAAACTACCAATAGGTTTACTGTGGTCTTTTAACACCTAGGCATACTTGGAGGAACTGTCATCCGGTTCCAAATGTGGTTCCGTTTCTTTAGTTAGTTTCCAAAATAATCAAAATAAGTGCATATTTATGGTCCAATTTAGGTCTTTAAAAGGTACCTCACAATCAAATAGGTTTTACAAGCAAATAGAATGCTGTTATAAAAAGAGGCTACCATACATGTATGTTATGTTATATACATAAGTAAAATATATAAAATACCCCCTCCGCAGCAAACCTGCAAACTAAGCGAATTTACATTTGCCTTATTGGATTTACACTAAAATTTCCATTTGCCTGATTGGATTGTATAGACCCTACTTAAATTGTCTCCTTAAAAATATCACAGTTATTCCAAATTTAAAATTAGTTTAACGAGTACTTGTGTTATTTGCTGCAACAGAAAGGGTAAAAAAGTGGGTTTTTTCAAATGTTGATAGCTTAATAAGAAATAAATGCATTTTTCAAATTTTATCGAAGTATGTTCATAAACAAGCAAACTACAACATTTTACTTATTCTCTATAAGAATAACATAGGAATTTTAAATTAAGTTTTTTGGAATTTTCTCCTTAACCATTAGTCGCATAGTAATGCTTCACGATAGTAAATTATTTGTCTTTTTAAGCCCTACAAAATGGTTAGGATAGAAATTGTTAAATTTTACGTTTTTTGGGTCAAAAATTGGAAAAACTAATTTTTACCTTTAAAACCCCCATAAACCCCCTTTCCCATGGTCCGATCATGCTGGTTCGCGAATTCGTTCGAATAAATGTAGGTTTACACGTTTATACCAAATTTCATCAAAATTGGATCATTTTGCTTGAGTTATTGTGCTTAAGGACATATACATATATGAATATGATATACGTATATACATATATGAATTTGAACGGATAGTGTTTTAGGCCTCTAGGGACCTCAAAACGTAAAAGTAAATCGGTCCCGAGTCCAGGTCTTACCATGAGTACTACGGTAATATAGCTTCTTCCCTATATGGGAAATTCGCTAAAAGGAAATCAACTGAATAGGTATTTGTATACTGTGTTATTTGTATTTGTTTCTGGTGTTTTGTCAACTGAGGTGAAACCAACATTTGCCCAGCTCCAGCTGATAATGATGTGTCCCCCTCCAGTACACCTGCCAGTTTTATTATAAATTTAGTTTTATTTCTTGTTTCATTAGCTTTCAATAAAATTTAAAATATTAGACTTATTTTTTGTTTCAATGTGTAAAATCTTAGCCCTTACCATAATTGACAAAAACAAAATACTTGATACAAGCTGACCTAACAAACTACAATGGCCAGACCTGAGATGCACGGCGCTGCGTAAACAATGACAAGCTGACTCAGAACAGCTGAGACCAGCACTGCTGGCCATTCGAGGGCAAAGGGTTAATAGTATTACTGTATTGTCCCATAATCATTATTGTGGCTTAAATATGGCTGGATTATCTCAAAAGTGAAATTGTGGCTTAAATACCGCTAAATCATCTCACAAGTGATATGGTGGCTTAATTACCGGATGAATATCCCACAATTGTTATTGTGGCTTAGTTACCGGATGAATATCCTACAATTGTTATTGTGGCTTAGTTACCGGATGAATATCCAACAATTGTTGTTGTGGCTTAGTTACTGGACAAATATCCAACAATTATTGTTTTTTAGTTACCGGATGAATATCCTACAATTGTCATTGTGGCTTAGTTACCAGATGAATATCCAACAATAATTGTTATTGTGGCTTAGTTACCAGATGAATATCCAACAATTGTTATTGTGGCTTAGTTACTGGATGAACATCCTACAATTGTTATTGTGGCTTAGTTACCGGATGAATATCCAACAATTATTGTGGCTTAGTTACCGGATGAATATCCAACAATTATTGTGGCTTAGTTGCCGGATGAATATCCCACAATTGTTATTGTAGCTTGAATACATCCGGATTGCACAATCACAATCACAATACACACGAGTTACTGAACTTGTAAAACAAATCTTGTTAACCTAAAATTATGGTATAGGAATGAGGATAAAGAAAACCAAGTTAGACATATTCAAAGTGTATTACTCGAACAAAATCTTTCGCTAGCCAGCTGCAAACATATCTCTTCTTAAAGTTTCTACTTTTTACAGCACCAATAACATCCTTAGAAGTCCAATTGACAATAATTAGAGTTAACATCTTTCAGTTGTTGACGGATAAATTTCTCGATTCGTTTAGGAATACTGGTGCTGTTATAAACCAAACCTTTTGTTGCCTTCTCTTTCCAACACTATATCTTCGAAGCTTATCTAACCTTAAATTAGGAATATTACTGTTATTTATTTGTTAAAAGTGACAGAATATGATTTTTATCATCAAATTATTTGAATATTCATAACACATTACTTATGAGGAAATGTAGACCATGTATTAGAACAACTAACAGGATAACAAGTAGTGATAAATATAATATATATTATTTTGATATAATTTTAACAGTTTAAAATAAAATTATGTTACTCACAAACTAATTTTGCATACTGAACACTAGTAAATGAGAGGGAATCTGCACTTGGTAAAAAAAAGGTAGTAATTAAGTTGGAGAGCGGAAAATAAAAATAGATTTGCCAAAATGTTCTTAACTGAAAATAAAGATAATTTTACAAATTAAGTTATGCTTATCATAAAATTACAATTGCAAAATACGGTTACATATTTAGCATTATTTTAAACTACACTCATAATACAATGATAAAGACTAACTTCTTTATGAGAATTCCACAATATTATATGTTACCACAGAAGATAAAGACAAAAAATTTCACATTCCATTTGTTTAAATATTTTTTTTAACTAAGAACAACCAAAACTTTCTTTTCTGATCAAACTGTATTTTGTTGTGCAATAATCGATACATTAAATATAATTTCTGACCAAAGCAGAAAGTAACAGGTTACAAAAATGTTATCTAAATAAAACTTTAAAAAAAAACTGTGGAATTCTTTTGAGACATAAAGCAGTTACAAGAAGTGGATATATATAAATGTAAATATGTCCTCTTCGAAGCAAGTTAATAGTAAGATTTAGTTTCATCCTTAAATTAAACAACAATAAGCAGTTTATATTAATTATACTTAAGGGCTGAAATACACCAGGCAACTTATTACATAATAAATCAAAATGTTGTTAATCAAAATAAACATAACTGTCCATGAACACAAACCAAAATAAGATAAGTCAACCCTTTAGAAAAACCAAATTTAGTTAAATTGTTTTAAATTTAAATGTTTAAAGATTAATATATGAATAACTGAATTTTTAAGTGCTTAATTATGTCAAAACTGCATTTCTTTAAATAAAAAATTGCATTCAACGTTCAAAAGACATTTAAACAAGAACTACAAGTACTACTTGAAATGACAATGACAATTTAACACAAAAAGAATAATTTTTAAAATTCTTCATTTCAAGTAGTAAATCACACAAACTGCTATTGAAGTTGAGAGTAGCAAACTTTAATTTTCAAAGAACAACCAAAAGAAATTATTTATTGGATTATACTTTGCTCCTCTCACTCATAAGACTAAATTCATTACGATAGGTGTCTAAAACAAACTGAAAGAAACTGCATAAAGAACAATAAGTGCTATGATTACAATGCATAAAATGTTGTCGGTGAAAACTCACACATTTTACATTAACTTTTTAAAATAAACAATTACAAAACAGTGTACACATTGATACACTGTCTGATTACTTCAAAAATATGATATACTTCGTGTGAACGAAATAAATCTGTCGGCTCGGGACATGTCAGTCGAGTAGTGTGTTGAGAACTGTCGGGACCCACTGAGAAGAGTCACACACATGTGTGCGTGTGTACAGCGTACAGAACAAGTATGTACCATTAGACATCATAAAACATAGCTCACTTCTCTGTAGTGCTTACATAAACAAATATTAATCTAAAAAATATACACGTTTCAAAACCATTCATAATCATTCAACATAAAATTTCATAACTATATTATGCGATTTACAAATACCAAGCCAGCAAAATGCAGACTGAAAATGTGTATGCACATTCGTGAATTTTAAACACTCATTCATGATAGTAATCATACACTTCCTTTACTAAAAATGTACAGATATTACTACTATTATTATTTATATTTCAAAATGTAAGAGAATCTTTTAATAATTTACATTGATCGGACAACACAACTGTATGTATACATTTCATACTTTACAAATATAAGAGCGTTATTCGTAAAATAAAAGAACATGAGATTTTTTTTTCTTTTTGTTTTTTCTATGATAGAAACACAGAGGTTAATTTAATCTGAAATGTTTACCACATTTTTCCCCGAATGAGTTAAAAGCTATAAAACAAAACACTACTATTCTAAACTAACTAAAATTAAGAGGGTCCAAAAAACAAATTTGGGAAATGAAAAACCTATCTTTCTGCTAAATATATAGATATACGTACATATTATGCAGCGAGGATAACATTACAGTGTATTAAAACGCTAACTTACATTATATCTGAGAGTACAGAAATCATATTATTTTCAAAGCTGAAAACATTTAAACAGATTTCATCTGATATCTTAAAAACTAAACAATGTATTATATTTGCATCCACTTTTATATAGGTCAAATCGAGTTATGAGATGGTAGCATTCTACCGTCACAAGAGCTTAGAATCTCTTTTTAGTCGTAATTTGCTATGCATCAGTGGGTCCCTCGCTAATCATGTTTTAAAAATTTATATTTATGATAAAAATGGACCAACAGTTCTCAAATACACTACTGCATCGTGAAGTCATCTGTCCCTGAATTTACACATTACATGTATGTTCTGCCTATGAAGATGATTTAGTCATTTTTAATATCCATAGCCTACATGAATCATGGGTTTTACATTCGATAAATGTTATTCGTATGACAAAGAACGCTCTCCAATATTCCACAGTTATATGAAATAAACAAGTCACGATAGATGAGCAAGCATCTGTCAGAATCTTTCCCAGTTGGGGGTTTTAATGCCCGAGTCGTTATATTACTTCCAAAATAAACTTTATTTTGGATCGGTTACATCTATGATTCTATTGAAGATTATCTATAGAAAATGGCATCAAGCCTATAATTATTTCATCTGGCCTGACAATCTTACAGCCAACCAACCTTTACCGTACCATTCAATTAACATGAAGATTATATTATATAACAAGTCTTTATTCGAGTTAACAGTTTGCAATGGCAACACACAATTTAGAAATAAATGTTTACAATGTGCTATAGTATTCACATAAACAAACGGCTAAAATATACTGTTAAAAGTGTAAATAAATATAAACACAATAATCATGTACTGCATATTAACGGATAATCTTATTAGAAGTACAAAAATTTGAATATCTCCTATTAATAAATAAAGAATAACATCAACAAAAATGATATATAATCTTCAAGCTAACATGCACCTGGCATTATCACATTTCGACTAACTTAAAGAACACTTTGCGTTGTGTCTGCTTTCTCTTCAACAACATGATGATAATAACAAACTATTAGAAAAATAGATTATGTTGATTCAACAATCAACACGTTTCGTCGCTTATGTAAATAAAATCGTCGAATCGATAAGTCTCATGCGGCTAGAAAACAAATAACAAAAGAATGCCGCTTAGGATACAAACCGACTTCAACAAATAAAAAAATATCACTTGAAGATTTATCAGTCAATGTCTGAAGTTCCATTTTCTATGTTGATCAGTCTTCTTGAGAATAGTATGTGGATGTCGCAAGAACATTCGCGGAATGTTCCTTGTTCACAATAGCACAATTACATAATCGCACTTGTTTCATAGTTGTCATTAGATTTTCAAAACTTCATATAAAATGTTCATATCACTATTAGTCTCAAAACATACAACTAAACGTAAAAAAATACAAAAATCACGCACAAAATAAGAAGTCTAAATCACACGTGCACGTTTTCATCACCTGAAAAAGGACATGAAATTAAAAATTACTACAGTGCCCTTGAATGTAATTTTTTTTAAATATACTTTGATAGAAAATATAACATAGAGTAGGACCTCGATGTATTAACGCTTAAGGGGGAACATAAACTTTTGAGCTATTGAGTTATTCGAGTAAATTGAGGTTCGAGTTATGCCAAGATGTTATCCCGAACATTTTTAATACTGAGGTGTTGAATTCAGGCAGTGTTATCATGCACCACGACCTTTCTAACTTGACTTATCGATTTGGTGGCTATACATAGTAGGCATACAGTATTTACACAATAATAGGTTTTACAAAAGCAAGCTTTGAGAATGTTGTTTGTAGGCTGACGGGCAATTACAATCATTGTAGCATTTGATGTAGGGTACCATAACCTGTTACTGTCTGAAGTCCAGGGGCCAGAAACATGAATTTTTATTCAGTTTTTATTATTCAACAATAATAATTTAGTATAAACGCCAATGAAATTTTTTGTACCTGTATAAACTAAGTTTAACCATAAACTAAGACCACCACTGGGACCTTGGCTAAGATGGCAGGACCATGTGCGGAGAGATAACGGCAGAGACAGAATGGATGGAAGACAGAGGGCGACTTGTTGTTGGTGTGGCCAAAAACCTACTGAGGTTTGAGTGGCCACATAGGTAAGGAAAGGTATAAACCAAGCTAACAAAAAATGTATGTCAAGAACACCAGATTCAATACATTAACAATTAGTTGTGTATGCACAGTACTGTCTATATTATACAGCAATGAAGTAATTGAGGTTAAATGTGAATTTCAAATTATCTTACTTGCATCTGTGAACGTCCATGTCTGTTAAGTTGGCCTTTTTACAACTCTTCCTATTCATCAATCAACCTTCAGTCTCATACTTTTACCAGTTTAAAACAAATGCTTCATAACATGTTATTTTTTTTATAATTCCACATTTCCTTTAAATTTTTCCTATCCTGTCATCATCAACTACCTTGACCACTTTTCTTTTTTTCCACCGTCTGTAAACATTTTACATTCACGCGTAGCTTATGCGTGATGTTTGACGGTTACAAATAATCCCCATAACTGGCAGACTAAACAGTACTAGCCAAACAAAAAATTACTCACTACACTAAAGAATAAAAAGTCGGCTGTTGTGATTCTAAGAAATCGCATATACAGTATTGAAATTAGGTAGGCCTGTCAATTTATTACATTGACTGTAGCTTATTGTTATTCTTGTCTACGTAGTATAATGTACACTAGGCCTAATACAATCGTAATAACGTATCTATTGAATCACTTAGCATAATAGCTTCTTATTTGCATTAACAAAATTGAAAACAAGTTGGAGGTCGTTTTTACAGGATATCTTTTCAAGAAAAGTAATTTTGTTTCTAACTTAGTTTGTAAAATATTGTTGCAGAATGACAAAAAATATAGTTCATCACAAAGGCAAAAAGTGTCTTTTCAACCCTCACTTATTTTTGAGCTTGGAAAAGAATCACTTTACGCTTTAGTGATACGATATTTTATTCTTATTGAATGTTCATGTTATTAAAATTTGGTTATGCAAACAACATTTCATATTTGATTTGTCATGTTAATTTTAGGATTATTTTGTTTTGTTTATGGGTGATCTAAATATACTTACTGAATGACTATTTAGTTGTCGCCTTTGGCAGCAGCCAAGATCTCCTTGACTCCCATTGGCCCATCACCTTCGCCATTGAGACCGCTCAGAATGTCAACTGTAAGTATTTAATTCTCTTAACATACACAAACTTTGTTATCCATCTATCTAAATACTTGATGCAATGAGTGTTTTCTCTGTAACGTCCTCTTTTTGCCTGACCTACTTAACCGATATTTAGGACGAATGTGTCATTTTAAAGCTTATGATCTACTGGATGGGCGAATGTTAATTAAAAAGGTTACCTCCTATAGGGCTTCGCCTGCAATTTATCTCTAGAGATCGTGTTTAAAGGCTGCTGACTACCTTTCTCACAGTTAAAAAAATATATATTAACTTACCAGCTCATTAACCTCAGTTGAATATTTAACCACAACCAGATCGAAGCAAGAAGCGAAACAGTTTATGAAAATGGGTTTTAAAAACTATTGTAGGTGTTGTTGATTATTGTTAGCGGATTTATGTAAGAAAACCCCACTTTATGATGTGGATCTACATTCGACATGTACATTAGTAGTTGTATTATACTGATCTCATCTAACTGTTTTGAGTGTTTAATTTTGTTCAGTTATGAAGTAAGGTTAAAAGTTAAAAATGTCCTTTGAAGATAAAAGTTAAATATGTCGTTTAAAGATAAAAGTTAAATAACTGCATTACTTGCTATGTACCAGAGGCAGAGTTTGAATCTTATTAAAAAGAGCAATTTGTGTCCTCTCGTTTTATTTAATAAGTTTAATTTTGAAATACCAGGACAGCACTGGTTTTTAAAAAAGCTTTGTGTAGAATTTTTATGAGTATCATGTTGAAAGTCTAAACAGATCAATTTAAAGTTTCTAACACAGAGAGGATCTTTGATTTTCAAAAATAATTCAAATCATTATCCTTGGCAAAATTAAATCCAAGTACAACAAAAAATTAGACAGTTTTTTTCCTTTAAGGAACAATGGTACTGGTAACTGAACATACCATGGTCAGAAGCATCCTCGAACTGAGCGGAGGAAGCGTCACCTGCTCCTCCATTGATCATTGGCTCGGTCCTGCAAAAATATACAATTTCAAACAACTTTGATACCAACATCATGATCATACACGCAATCAGGAATTTACTTTTAATAGAATTAATTAATAGGAGTATTTGAAACGCTCTAATTTACAACGAAAGCGAAAATTGAATGAAATATTCACAGCCACTACCTTCGACAAAGGTAGATAAGCAGGTATTAATATTCTGAATAATAGATGTATAAACTTAATTTTTGTAATGTGCCAGAATGTTTTCCCTCATTCAGGTTAATCTACGACAAATAAATGTTAGTACCTGACCTTAGAAAGCTCTAACCTAAATGTGTTTAGTTTTCCGAATTCAAATGTTAATAAATAGGTATATTACTTTTATAACATGAGAGCATAAAGACTCTCAAAATATTAATAGGCCTACAGCAAAATGTATAAAAAAAAATAATAATAAAAGAAAGAGGGGAAAGAGGACCAATTTGAATCAAATCATTGAAATAAATTATCTTTCATCAAACTTTAACTCTTATCCTTCTATGACAGAATAATAAATATCAAATCATTCAATGTTGAACTAATTAAATAAAGATTTAAGTCCTCAGTAGAAAAAACATTTTTCTTTTAAAGACTGTTGTACAACAAAACAGCAACAATGGCATCTCTTTTAGTTCTTCCATTGAGATTATTTACCAATAGTAAAAAGAATACTTACCCGGACAGTAAGCTGCCGACAGTCTTCTTTTCATCTTTGTTCATCAATATTTTCTTCTGTTTGTCATCAATGTCAGAAGCGAACACAGTTTCACTGCACAAAATACACCAAATTCTAAGATAAACTGACTATTGAACACCATTGAAGACACCAAACAAAATTGATCAGACATTATACATAAGAAAGTTCGTTAAATGCTTTGACTCTTAACAGCTTCAAATATTTTGTTGTCCATAGTGGCAACAACAATGTTCTATTTAAAATTTAAGTTAAAAAAGGTTTCATGATTGATCTGATGAAAAAGTAAGACTAGATAGTGCCGATACTATTTGTGACTTTAAATTGAACCCAGGTACAATTACTATTTCTCAGCCAAGATTCAATTTTTTTCAGCCAAGGAAAATATAATAGAGAATCACCTATATAAAGTTAATTTTGCAAAATAAAGTTAGTAGCTAATAATATATATATATTTATATCTATATCTAAAAGAGGAACTATGTATGTATAGGCCTATGTATAGCCTATACGTTAAAATCTCTTTTACTTCAAATGTAACTGAAGTAACAATAGCTAGGCCTCCTAGTCAACAAAGTTATCCAGTTAATAGTCCAAATTCAGTTCTAGTAACAATTAAGACCAATTGAATCTTAAGCCAGAAAAATAAATTAAAATCTAATGATCAATATCAGCTGGAATTAATCGTTGACATTTATAAATCTTGAAACTTGTCCTTATAATTGAAACTGAGATATGAAAGAATTTTTGCTGTAGAGCAAAAACTTACCCAGTTCCTGGGAGGACGACTGACATTCCACGACCTTTGGTAGTTTTCTTGAGAGGCTCTTTTCTGCCACCAGGTGGTGGGATAAGACGCTTCTTGGTCTGTAACAAATGGTCAACATTGGTGATCAAGTAGTTGCTGAAAGATAAATTGTGAGTTTATAACTCGGGTTGTGTTTTGATAAACTCATAGAAATTAATTGAAAACTAATAAAAGGGTAAAATATGAAACAGTACAAATTTGATGGTTATGGTTACACTACAAAAAGGCCTATATTTTAAAACTTTACTTGAGTTTAAATTACATATTTTTCTTAAAACTAGGCCTATAACAATTATGAAACAATTACCGGTGGACGGAAACCACGTCCCTTGCCCTTGAGTGGACTGCGAGGATTGAAGGTGGGTCGGTTGTTTCCTCGATACATTGAGTTGCCATAACCACCAACACCGACTGATGTTACCTGATAAATAAAACAGAAAAATAATCTCAAAATCTTGATTAACACACAAATAATGCAATAAAGTTGGTACAACTGATTATTAAGGATTCGTTTGGTCTCTGGAAAAGAGGATGAACATATTCATTTTCGCTCAAAAAATAAAAATTTAGAATATAGGGACAGCAGCTCGCTTACCTAAAAAAAAAAATGCAGGTAGGCTATATTACCAAGGGGCAATGACTACTCCTGGGAACTTGACAAGTATGGAAGGGAGTTGGCCAAAAGAGCTATTTTTTGCCTCAGTGTAATTTTTGTGAAATTTTTCTAATTTTAAGCACGCTTCTATCCCTATTTAAAAAATCACAATCCTAGCCTAGAGAATAAAAAAAAGTGCAAGCAGATAATTTATTCTCTTTAATCTTATAAAATCCAAGTATTCTATGTTTAGGCCTACCCTTAAAATAAAATATGAACTATCCTGTAGCTGATTATTTGGCAAAATTTGTAACAAGGAGAGATTTATGTGTACTAAAATTGTATCTGACCTGTGGCTGAACCATGACGGATCTGCCGGCATTAAGGTGAGCCAGTCCGTAGTTGGGACCCCAGGAGCCGACGACCACGCCAGCAATTTCCAGCCGGCCGCCCTGGTTGGTGGGGATGGCACGACGTGGCATACCTCGCATTGACATACCCCCTCGTAGCAGTTGCCCACGACCAGATGTAGGGTGGTTGTTACTCAGCATGCCGTGGGGCACCATTGGAGGTGGTGGAGGGCCCATACCAGGGTGAACTCTAGGTCCTGGACCTGTGTACAACAAACCAGGATTTTAAAAGACACCGAAATCACAGAAAGTGTATAGGCTACATAAAACAAAATTACAATTAAAATTATCCTGCAAAGTTCCATAAACATTAAAATTTTCAAAAAAGTGGGAGAGTCTTCTCAATAGACCTATAACAGATTTTTGTACAAGTAGGCCTACGACATTTAAATATTTTAGGGAAACTGAGTTTGTGAACCACAAAAAAGAACCTTTCTTCATTTTTATACGTGAACATGTCCCGCAATTACAACGAAGTGGTGAACATAACCAGCAGTTACACAGGCATTATAGTTTCATGGGTTTTCAGTGCTATAATGAACATATCCTGCGCAACACCAAAATCATGAACATATCCTGCGCAACACCAAAATCGTGAACATCTTGTGCAGTCATGGAGACATCTTAACAGTCACCTACCATTGTAGCAACATCTCAAACAAAAAAATGTCCGTCCCGAGAAAACCCTAAATTACATGTTATCCAGTCCTGAAGATTGGGAATACATTATTCCTGAAAATTTCCCAAAACCTGCCCATCCCTAATTTGTATTAAGTAAGGTTAGTCAAAACATTTAAAGTTCTAGCAAATGTTAGTATTGTCAATATTAATTTAGGAGCATCACAATGTATAAAGGAGGTATTGAATATTGATGACACAGGCTTATGAGTATGCCTAGAAACTTCAGGTACCGTAGGACCTACAGTTCTAATTAGGGATGGTCAAGTCTCGAAATTTCGGAAAATTTTCGGGAAATTTTTACTCTCGTTACACGAGACGAGATTTTTTATTTTTTGGCCGAGATTTTTATGAAGACGAGAATAAAAAAAAAAAAAAAAAAATTAAAAACTCCTGCAGAAAGTCAATGCAATACCCGCAATACAGGAGCGTGTTGTAGTTGCGTTTCCTTTGCGAAGGCGTTCTTATTGAATTAATTCTTTAAATGTAAATATTACTTTAATTATTTTAATAATATTACTTTAATAACATTTGAGAAGTTTTGTTAAGTGTAAGCAGTGTGAGGAATGTTTTATTACTATAAAAAGTCAATACAAGTAACTATTTTATAAAAATTAATATTGCTTTTATTTTATGATTTATTTTATTTTAGGATAAGTTGAACTCTATCCTAACTGATATCACTATGTTTCCTAATCGTAGGCATTTTTAATAAGTTAGGCGTGATTAATAAAAAAATGTTATGCTGATGTTTTTTAATAAAAGATTATAAATATTCTTGCCTATTATCATTTTTTTTGTATTTAAACAGTCATCTAACAATGTTACAAAATCAGGTAAAAATTTTGAACGTGCATTTCTTGTTGTGTATGAGAAGGGAAATCCCGTCTCGATCTCGTCTAGAAATTTTATGAGAAATAAAAAATCTCGTCTCGTCTCAAACTAAAAATCCAATCTCGTCCATCCCTAGTTCTAATGATTTGTACAGAATCTAGAGTTATCAACTGTTTACAAAACAATTAAGTAACTCAATAAGGAATGTTAACCAAATTATTTAAGAAAATACTCTTAAAGCTTTGTGAATTTGTGTTCCAAATTAACAACTTGATTGATTGAAAACAGACCAAACTTTTAAGCTCAGCGGATAGTGATTTACCTTGGATCACAACAGGCATCGGAGGACGAGCAAACTGGACATTCAATCCTTCCAAGATGGCTTGACGCATTCTCTCCACTTTCATGACCATGCGGACACGATGGTTGCACAGTTCCATGATGTTCTTGACTACCGAGGCTCTGGACAGCTGGTGGTGGAACAGCTTCCCATCAAAGAACAGCCAAGGACAGCACATGAGCCATGGTACAGGGGCTCCACATGCGTCATTGACCAGGAGTGCTGTCTCTACACCTTGCATAAACATGGTGGCCAGCTGCACCCCACGGCTGCTCACTACTGGTAACTGTAACACAACAGATTGATAATAATATCAACTCTAACTAATTAATTTAATTTAACTAATTAATTTGACTAATTAATTAACTAGTAGAAAAAGGAGGATAGCAGCTAGCTTACCTTGAAAGTGTGGGTAGGCCATAGAACAAGTAGAAAAATATTTTGCAGTTTGCTCACAATATTTCGTCCCCTAAGGGACTTTGTCAAGTGTAGAGAGAGTTTATAAATTACAAGATCATCTTGTAATTTATAAACTCTCTCTACACTTGACAAAGTCCCTTAGGGGACAAATATTGTGTGCAAAATATTTTTCTACTTGTTCTATGGCCTACCCACACTTTCAAGGTAAGTTAGCTGCTATCCTCCTTTTTCTACAATTTAAAATCCTGGCCTAGAGCCTTTCCTTAAACAAAACTAATTAATTAACTAGTTTTTTTTTTTTTTTTTCAAAAAAGTCATCCCGAACAAGGCCAATGGTGTAGACCTAACAAGTAAATAATGATAGATAGTGCTGCAGTAGCCTATTCCATGTGGCAATAACTTTTCATATAGGTGAACAAGCATTTTAAACTTTTAACTCCATAAACTCCCAACACGATGATATGGCCAAGCTCAAAGATCCTGCTGATTCACGACAACTCCTGCCCCTACACAGCAAATGTCATTTGTGAAGTTCTTCAATCTATGGGAGTTGTTTCCCCCGTTTCCAACACACAGTCGCGAACCTAGCACCGCGAGACTTCAAACTTATTCCCGGCAATGAAGAAGTGGCTGGCAACGCAGCCTTTTGATGACGACGCACTGCTGCAAGAAGATGTAACCAACTGGTTGATGGTACAGGCTACCGAATTTAACAATGGAGGAATTCTCATGCTCGTTCATCGCTACGATAAGTGCCTTAATTTGAACAGTGCCTCATAGGCCTATGTAGAAAATTAGTAGGCTATTTAAGTGTGGCTTTCATCTAGGTGTATAATACAATTTTGTTCTAAGACTTTGTTTATCCTTAATTCTAAAACGTAATCTACTTTTGGCTTTTTGGATAGCCCTGTAGAATTGATAACAATAGGCCTACCCAACAATTTTCCAAATATTGTGACAACACATACCTGCAGCTCCTGGTTGATTTCAGCATTCATAAGTTCAGGCATGATGGCAGTGGTTATAAAGGCATCCAGTTCTGGTTTTCTTAAGACCTTTTTCTCAGGGAATGACATCATGTATCTATTAAAGGGAGAAAGGAATTATTATTGGCTTCACTCATTTCACATATTTTTAAATATAGTAGGCCTACATGAATATATTGTATTCAATTTACAGGTTCAGTTGTTTTATTAAGGTATATGAAAATGTATGGTGTTCAGTAAAGTAACTCAGTCTCAGATATTTTGTACAGAAGTTAATCCTAAATAATCTCAAGAAAGTTAAGAACTAGACACATGCTTTTTTAGTTGCCTACAAAATATATGGGTCCAGATAATAGGAAAACCACAATGTGAGAATAAATTGTTATCTAGATGATTTACCTGAGTACAGTGGCCATGATGAGCACATGTTGTGGGACGTAGTCAGGGTTGAGCATCAAGGCAGTGTCAGAGCGCATGCAAGTCAGGAAAGCTCTGAGTCTTCTACGTTTGTCATCAATGGTTGTGCTAAACATACATTTTATAATTAATAAATCTCATTAAATGTTTATCGATCCACAGTCAGATATTTTTGAGGTAACATACTTAGCCTACTACATTAAAAAATATCTGAGGTCATAATTATGGTTCAGATATGTCTTGTCTATATTAACATCTTGTGATTATATGGTTGATATTTACCCAAACCACAGCCTCTGGATGGTAGGGACGCCCCATCCTATTTGTTCAGCAGGTACAATATCAGCTCGCTGGTACTGGTTGCTCTTGGTCCAGATCCACTCCTTGATTCTTACATCTGGCGGTTTGGAATCTAAAATCATTACAAATAATATTAAACCATATGAGTAAAACGGTAAAACATAAAAATAATACTAAGAAATTAAAAACAAGAAAGTAGGCTATTCAAGTCCAGTAATTTAATTTATGATTGAGTTTCACAACTAATAGAAGTAAAATAGCTGCAAAGTAAAATTCTGAGAAAAATAAAAATTGCCAGCAGCTCAAACACATATATTTTTACCACAGCGTTAGGCTAATATACAAATAAACCTGACTTATCACAAACTTGTTTTGAGCGGCACTGAGCAAAAAACAGCAATAAGATGCCCTTAAGAACTTTTGATCCTGTGATCGCAGCAATACTGAGAAGATTTCCTGCTATCATGGATCCACGGTTGTGACGCAATTGAGGATGCTTCTACGATTGCAAGGAAATCTTGAAAATATCCTGAGATCACAGCAAAATCTTAAACACCTCTCAGTCGTGGAAACATCATTATCGTCACGAATTAGTGCATAGCAACTAAAAACCGAAATCAATATTTTCCATCATTATTCATTATTTTTAAACCCACCATTGGATAGGCCAGTAGTAATCGTACTGTGTGGTTATTACAATCACCTGGTTTGCTATCCTTGCTCCTTGTGGCCATGTAAGTGTGGTGGTGCAGGTTGAACAGAATTGCGTACACCATCTGGCGCACGGGTCGGTAGAAGTGGTGGATGCTTGGAATCTCTTTGTGGCTTTCATCTTCCATTACGACTGGTAATTTTATTTCACCCTGAACAAAAATCAAATTTAATTTGTTAACTGACTGGACGCAAAAAAGAGGTAGCCTAAAATGTTTGATAGAGCCAAAGATGTTCAAGCCTTGACCTTTTTGAGCTGAGCTTTTGTATATAATGTGACATAATTCCCATGTCCCATAATTCTCTTTTAAAAAAATCTGTTTGTTTTAAGTAAGTTACATACAAACATGAAGAAGCAATAAACAGTTAAAAATAAATGTCACTGGAATTTTTTTTCTTTTTTTTTTGAATACTGTATTTTACTTTTGTCTCAAGTCAACATTCTTTGAAATTAGTGTATTCATGCACTTAATTACTAAATACAAATAAATGTAAACCTTAATAGTATCATCGTCACAAGTAATCGCAGCTAGATTGTGAATTATAGTGCTTTCTGCAATTGTATTGGGAAAATAAAAACACAACTCTAGTTCAATTTTCTTACTTCACATGGTACTTTTTTCACTTGAGAATTTTAACTAGGCCTGGCTTGAAAATCGAGTTGCCAGCATGTCTTCGTTTATTTTAAAACATAATGAATGATCAATTGTCCTAGCTTCAATCACCCGAATCGCCGACAGCAAGGATTACCTCTAGGAGAAAAAAATAAATAGCCTAGGTCAACCAAAAGAAAATTAACTTCATGTCCGTTTTTTTTCTTTGTAGATTATGGGAACCCCTTGCATATTTTAATGAGTGCCATATATGTCCGTCATTTATCATTCGGATTATTTTAATGTGTGCCATATACGTCCATCATTCAAATTAAGTCAACAGTAAGACTGTTTGTTTATTTAAACAACTATTTACCTGAAATATAGTGATGGGGTCCGGTCTTATTGATCCGGTTAGTTAAGAGTTCTAAACTGACCTGGGTGAGTATCTGGTAGATGCAAGGTGACATGAGTCCCTTGTTGTGTCGCTCACTCACAGTCCTCATCACTTCTGGAGGAACAGCTGGCAACTCGATGACTACCTTGTCTGTCTTCCTGCTGTCATCAGACTTGCTGGACTTCTGAAATTATAGTTCATCATACACTGTTAAAAAAACAAATTTGATTGTGAACAATTTAATTGTGTAGAGGAAGATTTTTTTTAGGATAGCAGATTTTAGTCCCAAACTGACTAAAGAAACAATAAACTTAAAACTTAGACAAAACATTTGAATATTTTACTGTCACTGAAAGAATTTTTAACTAAGGAAGGTATGAGTTGGTGAGATTTATGAAGACGGGAGAGTTAAAAATACTGTCAGTGACAAGTGAAATATTCTAATGTTTTGTGTATACTGTAGTGCAAAGTTTAGTGTTTCTTGTGCCAGTTTGGACTCTTTCACATTCAGTTAGCCGTTTGATAAAAATTCTTGACCAATGTGCTCTCTGTTACAGCCTTAAAAAAAGATTTATACTTGTTGTGTCAGCTTGACTAGATACATTTTCCTTGGTTTGTTTTCCTACTGTGGTGTGTTAAATTTTACTGGAAGTAGATTGTTAAATAAATAACATGGTATCAATCACGCAAAAAAATAAATAACAAAAACATTACATTAGATTGTAGTTGAGACTTTTTTAGTGACCTACATTAACAAATTTGTACCGACTGGCTTTTTGAACATAACCGTCATGATTTGGAAATCTAGCACCATCCACAAACCTCGACACCAGCCAGTCAACACCAACCCACAACCCATAACATACAATACCAATAGGCTACTGCAATCAGTTACCTGTTTAACCTTCTTCACTTCCGGGGTGAGCCTGGCTGGTGACGTGGCATTAGATGAACTGCTAGAACTACTAGAGCTGAGGAGCAAGCTTTGCCGGCCGTTGGCACTGCTTCCGTTCAGCGGAGGGATTTCGGGATCGCACAATTCAAGTTCTTGGTTCTCTTTCAGAATTGGTTCATCGATAATTATTTCGGGTCGTACGTTCAAAACAGCCGTGGCCTCCTTGTACCTCGTTAAACTGTCAAGCTGCAACACCAAGCATTTATAAACAAATTGTCAATAGCCATAGTTAGTGATAGGCCTACACTAAAATATACAATAAGTAATTATTCAAATTCATCTTAAGAATATTCACAACGTATAATAAAGTTAATTAAATAAACCAGATATTAAAATTGACGATGATAAGAAAATATCATTTTGATAGAAACAATTTCAATTTAGACACATTAGGCCTAAAGATGTTTGGTATGCATATTGCAATATTTTGTGACGAGAGATACAAACATAGAAGACGAAACTAAAATATAATAAGCAATATGCAAATTAATCAAAATCATCTAGAACTGAACAAGATTCATATCCTTCTTCGTTTGTTCCGCATAATGCAAAGTGTGTAAAAAGTTTTTCCAGATTCACGATCAAATTTTTAGCTGTAAACTACAATCAGCTCCAGATAAACCGTTATCAAATTAACCGAAGCACGTTAAATAAAATAAGTATAATTAAATGCAGACGGTCGGTCATCATTCGAAACTCAATATTTTTGAAAGTCAATATTTTTGAAACTGTTAATAAATTTGTAATATCTATATTAAATTTGGTTGGCATTTTAATAAGTTATAGCTTGAGCTATTAAAAAAACCAAGTGTTTTAATTTTTTTAGTTTCAATTAATTGCTCAAAGATAACCGATATCATGAAAACATGACAAGAACTTTTTTTATTGAGTATTTAAAATTGTTCCACCAATCGTAAAGACTGAATAACAAATAGCTGATAAATCACGCTTTTCAGGTGAGGTGAACCCTACCAGGAATTGTTTTTTTTTGTTTTTGTTTATCTGAAATGTAGGCCTAGTTGTGAACCTGTCCAAAAGGTTTTTATGTTCTAAAAATTTTTATTTACTAGGGGTCTGCGGGTCCCCGATTTTTTCGGGTCGGGTCGGGCCAGCGGAAGGCCCGAGAGACCGGGTCGGGTCAGAGATTTGTTCGGGCCAAGATCGGGTTGGGCCTAAACAAATTATTATTATTTTCAAAGTTATAATAAGTAATTTTCAAAGAAACACTCTTATATATATTATTACAGAGGAATTAAAATGTTAAAATTAGAATTAAATATTAAGTTTGCTCACGTTTAAGAACAAAGACACAACAGAGCAATTGCCTTACTGTCACTAGCCAGAGCCAGTCGTCTACTGACAAAACAAAAGCCGTGACTCAACAGTGCAAAGAAAACGAAGTCAAAAGAAAGACTATTTATCCAGAGGTCCCATTTTAATTATTTATTGTTTATTCCATACCTAGTTTAAAATATATTTTAGTATTTTATTTACATAATAAATTATAAACAAAAGAAATATCTGATGTAGTGTACAGATCTGTATCTTGTTCTTTTATTTTCCTATTGTCCTTTTTGTCATTCAGTAACAAAACAAAACAACACTTCTGATCGTCTGGTTAGGCATTGTATGGTCACTATTTCATTTTTTTTTTTTTAAGTATCAAGTATCAGCAAGTCTACAAAGAGGTTAGGCCTAAATATTTTATAATTTTATTTTATGAAAGTTTTCATCAGTAAAATTATTTTTTTCTTAGGTTAGATAGAGTTTCAAAAGAGATATTTCTAAGATCCAATACAATATTTACAAGACACAAACTACCATGAATTATAATTTCTTTATAAATTATCTGTAACAGTTTTATATTTTTGAATAAAGAAAATATATCTTTTTGTCTCTACTTCCTTGTTTCGTTACTTGCATTTTGTCAGCAATTGGAACGACTAGGTGGTGTAATAGGGGCGGGGAGGGGGAGGGTCTATGACCTTGAGTGTCCCCGGGCCTGGCTCGGGTTGTGTAAGAGGGGAGGGGAGGGGAGGGGGAGGGTCTGTAACCTTGAGTGTCCCCGGGCCCGGCTGTGAGTGATTCATGGTTTTTTGTTTACATTCTACTACCCTTCCTTCCGAGAAAAAGACCCTACGGTTTCAAAAACATTGACTTACAGTATAAAAACATTGAGTTGTGTTGCTAATTAGGGCACTATAATGTCTCTGCTGTCTGCTTATGTTGCCAAATTAGCATTTAACTTTCTTTTCTCTTGATTTAATATAATTTTCTATATATTAAGAGTTCCTTTTTGGGTACCTAATAATTGTGATATTGTTTGACTTGAGTTTATGGATTTTTAATTCTTTTCATTTATTAGCTAAAATCAGTTGTTTTAGGATCTCTTGCAATACCTATAACTGTGCCTATAACTGTGTATCTATAACTGTGTACCTATGACATGATATGCAATTTTTACAGTCTTTACTATAACTATACCATAAACAATGTATGTGTGCTATTTTTACTGTTTTAGAGTTTTATAGTAAATTAGTTTACACAATATCTTTTCTTCAATGAGTTCTCCACTTGTCATGTTGCTTAGTCTATTACTATTTTAGGCCCTATAAAAAATAATTCCTATGTAAAGCTGTAGGCCTACTAATGCCAATAATAGATAATTCTTTATTTATGATGATGTAACTAATAATGCTATTGTAAGTGTGAGGTTTTTGTACTTAGGAGGTTAGGAGGCAGGGAATGAATTATTCATATTGCATGGTGGAAACATAGAATTTTTATTTTCTTTCTTCTTGCTTGCAGTCTTGAAGCCAGTCCACAGGACCTAAACTTGTGATAAGGTTAATTGATTTGTTTATGATCCTTTTATATTAAGTTCCATTACAAACTTGTTAGAATATAGCTGTTTAGATATTTCAACAGTTATGAAAATGGGAAAGAATGGCTTGATAAAAAAAATTATTTTCTTCTTTCTTGCAGTTGAGGCAACTTCTAAGCTGTAAATAAGTTATGAACATGAAATAATATACATAAATACATTTTTTCCCATATGTTATTTTCAAGTAATATTAAAAACACAGATAGGAGTTAAAAAAATATAAAAAATCCGGTAATTAATAATTTTTGGCCCGACCCGATTTTGGCCCGAAACCCGAGGACCAAAATTATCGGCCCGACCCGACCCGACCCGAACCAAAAAAGTCTGACCCGCAGACCCCTATTATTTACACATGTTGAAGTCCTGAAATAATGTTAATTACCAAGACTTTAGCTCTGGAGTTTACTAAATTACAAGTTAATGATGTAATCCAAATAGTTTCTGATATCAATATTACAACGATTTTGAATAGGCCTACTTACAATACAGAAGCTCATGTAAGAAGGCCTACCTCACTCTCAGCTGTTTCTGAGGCAAGTTTTGAAGTATCCAAATCAGGTTCTTGTTCCTCGATGCTATTCACTCCATCAATCTTGGATTTGTTTCCTCGAACCCTTTTGACTGTAATAAGAAAATAGAATTTACTTTCCATAAAATGTATACACCTACCGATTTCTAGCCCTACAGTGTCGTTTTCAGTTTCAAAAACCAAAATTCTTTTTAGGAAAAAAACAAAAGAATTGTATAATGATTTTAGATGTTGCAAGAGAAGCTTGAATAACCCTAAAATCATAAATAAAATAAACCATAATGTACTTTTAAATTAACAAAATGTACCTATATTAATAAATACGGTATACAGCTTTTTTGTACATTCTTTTACACTATCTACAACTTTTGCTCTCCCGCATCATTAACCAGGCATACTATGAATATCTACGTAAAAACTGCTTGTACATTAAGAGAAATACTATTTGAGTAGATCGCAAGTGACAACAATTCTGTACTTTGGCCTAATTGATCAACCTTACATCAACCTTTGATCTTCTATACTTGGACTGATTATTTTTCCAATTAGCCTAAATAAATTAAGAGTCCTTATTCAATAATACTTAGCTAGTTTGTTTTTTACCTGTTGTTGACGGTCTATATCTGAGGAATCCATCTTTAGTGCCATCTAAATAATACTGAATGCTCTGCTTTAGTTTGGATAGCCTAGGGTCAGTGGAAGATCCTAGGATTGCAATGGCTGTGTCTTCAATATTATCCACATTCTGAAGATCTTTGACCTTTTCTGCCAACTGTTTGACTAATACATCTCCTGGTATCTGCAATCATAGTTTGGAATCAACAGTTAATACTAGAATTCATTTCCTACTACTGGAACGTTAGTTATTAATAAATAATAATAATAATGTTACCTTCTTCCGTTCCAAATGATTGTAGTATTTACGACGCGTTTCGTCAGCACAGTGACATCATCAGGTATCCGCTATCGCTTCGTCTTGAATATATTAACATAAAACAGTCATTGCACAATACACAAACACACATTTAATACATTTAAAGACCGGTCGTTGTTGTCGTCGCGGTGGCCACAACTCACGTACGCACATGACTAATTCTGGGCGACGACTCAAGACTTGGATAGTTAATACTAGTCCTGTTACAAAAACTGTGCATTACACAAAAAACTAATTAATAGTTGATCAATTAAACTAAAATTAAGAAAATACACTGATTCAAAGGAGATTTAAAATTACAGTACTTCAGACAAGTACTTATTAATTTCAAATTCATACCTTTCCTGGCATTTGTGTGATGCCGGCTTTCTTGTAAACATCAATGAGATCATGCTCAGGAAGTATGTAGTTGCCTAGCAGTGCAGCCAGCACACACAGTTTGTCTGAGGATAGGCCGAGACCCTTGCACAACTCTCCCAAGATGTATTCCTTTGACTCGAGGGATCCCTAGAATCACATTAAAAGATATTCAGTAGGCTTACATTTTTTATAAAAGGTAGAAATTCACTATTACACTACGGTCGCAAAGCAGGTTTGTGTTGTAGAATGAACACTGGGGCATAGTTCTCACAATTTCTACAGGTGTGTCAATAGCACTCAATGCCGAGTACCAAGGACTCAAGTCAGAACAGTTTTCCGACGTGCCACTGTGAGTCCACGCTGGTATTAACTACAATAGTTCACCAAATCTGACACAAGTCAAATAAGAAATAAGTACATTTTACTCGGGTGGACTAAATACTCGACATGTCACACCACTAAGCTGGCAAGTTACACCTTACACCTGGGGAAATATTTGTAAATCTCAAACTATCATACCTTGTATGTAAGTTTCAGTTGCCGAGCGGAGAAGTACCTCGGAGGATCAAAAGCAACGTACTCTGCATCATCAGCGATCAAACCGTGATAGTTATTCTCCCTGCAGTATGCAATCACTTCCTGCTTGTGATCGTCCATGGTACAGACGACTTGGCAGTTGAGATGCCTCAGTACCATGCGGATTGCTGTCCTTAGGCAGACAGGAGACGTCCACCAAACCTTGGGCGGGGGAGTACCTTTGGTGGTCACATGTTTCAAAACCTGCAATCGGACACCAAAATATCTATTACAAAAATAAAGACCAGGACCAGGACCAGGATGGCGGTTAACACAATAGAAACAGAACCCCTTTATAAATTTCTAGGTACAGTTTTAAAAATAGCAATATTTTTTAAAGAAAAAATGTATTTATTTATTTATTTATTGCTCTTGACAATTTTTACATTGTGTACCATATAATAGTGTTTTAATACCGTACAGTATATAGATTAATGAGAATTCATTAGTTTTGATTCAAAGTATATTATTTAATTCAGATACAGTTATAAAGCAAGAACCTTCAAAATATTTACAATTCAAAGTCAATAAACCAACAGATGTTAATTATAACATCTGCTTAATATTACAACATCTCTCCTTTTTAGTTGCCCTCGTATCTTTTCACAGGTTTCACGATTCTTCCAAACCTTGTTCTAACTTCTTCATTAGATTGGAGACTTGGTTGTGAATAAGAAGGATTGTTATTGTTTACAAACAGCCTTGTATTGAAAGTTGGTGTACTGGTATTTCTAGAGACTTGTCTTGGTGCTTTCTGATTACTCTGATTAGTGTTGTTGGTTTGAGAGGTAGGGGTTTTGAGTAAGCTCCGTTCATTGTTTAAGTCTATAGGAGTTTTCGGAGACTGATCGTTATTTTTAGAGAAAGGAAGTGGAGTAATACTTGCTGATTGTTCAGGACTGGTTTGGCTTTTGTACGGAATCAAGTGGTATCTGTTTCGGCGTACTGTGTTTCTTTCAGTATTTACCCAATAAGATCTTGGCTCATTGGCTAGGTTTGTTATTGTACCCTGACGTTTTAGATCTTTGATCCACACTTTTTGTCCTCGTTGCAACTGGGGTAAATCCCTGGTACCGTGATGCTTATCATATTGATTTTTGTAGGATTCTCTGTATTTTTCCTCCCTCTTCTTGAAACTGGATAAGTCAGGTCTTTCAGAAAGCTTCTGTGGCAATACAGGTAAATTATCTCGTAACCTCCTGTTGAACAAAAGTTGGGCTGGGCTAAGCCCGTTGGCTGTAAGGGGTGTGTTCCTGTAGGATAGGAGTGCAAGGTAAGGGTCTTCTTTGTTCTTTCGTAAGACACTTTTAGCTATTTTTACAGCAGCTTCTGCAGAGCCGTTACTTTGATGATGTCCGGGACTGCTTGTTGTTAGTTTGAAGTTGTACTTTTGTGCAAAAACTTTAAACTCAGAATTTTCTAAGCATGTCCGCTGGGAAGCAAACTGAGTTCCACAGTCTGATCTAAGTTCGACAGGTATTCCGTGGCGACAAAAAATTGATTTGCATTTCTCTATTATCTCACTTGTAGTTAATGTTTTTAATGTTGCTATTTCAAAGTATCGACTGTAACAGTCTGTCATTACTAGAAACCAAGTCCCATCAATTTTGAATAAATCGATGCATGCTTTCTCCCATGGACGAGAAGGAATTTCAGATGTCATTAGTGGTTCATGATGCTGGGATCTAAATTCTGTGCATTTAGGACACTCATTAACCGTTTGTTCTATGTCCGAAGATATACCTGGCCACCACATGCTGTGACTTGCTCTAAGTCGGCATTTACTGATTCCAAAATGTCCGGAATGAATTCTATTTAGCATATCAAGTCTTAGGTCACTAGGAATAATGAGTCTATCTCCTTTCAGCAAAACACCTTCACAGAAGGAAATTTCGTGGCGGACTGGGTAGTAAGGTTTTAATGCATTAGGCAATTTGGATTTGTCCGGCCATTCAGAGGAGCAAAACTGCTGAATTCTTCGGAGAATCGGGCATGATTTTTGTGCATCACATATTTTCTGGATTATAGCATCGGTTGTACCCAAATTTGTAATTACTGAACTAACAGCAAATTCAACTTCTTTTTCTAAGTCGTATGATTCTTTAGAAGGCAGAGGGCTTCTTGAAAGACAGTCGGCTGTCGCAAGATGTTTTCCTGGAGTGTATGTAACTCTATAGGAGTATCTCATAAGTCTTAGACGTAGTCTCTGAATACGGGGTGTTAGGTCATTCAAATCTTTGTTTGTTAGAATACTAACGAGAGGTTTGTGGTCTGTTTCAATGATTATGTCTTTGCCAATTATGTATTGTTTTAGTTTATCACAGCTCCAGGTTACAGCAAGGGCTTCTCTTTCTATATTGGAGTAGTTTTTTTCGCTCTCAGTAAGTGTTCTTGAGATGTATGAAATAGGTTTCCATTTGTTGTCTACTTGTTGCTGAAAGAGTACCCCACCAAGACCTGTTTGAGATGAGTCAGCAGACACCATGGTAGGGCGGCTAGAATCATAGAACGCCAGTTGGGGAGCGGAAGCAAGAAGTGACTTTATCTCTTCAAAGGCTATATTTTGTGTTTTGCCCCAAACAAATTCATTTCTTGTACTTAAAAGGTCTGTAATTGGTTTAAGTATTTGGCTTTTATTTGGAATATATTTTCCTACAAAATTTACCATTCCAATAAATCTTTGCACACCTGCTATGTTAGTAGGAGGAGGCAATTTTGTTATGGCTTCCACCTTTGATTCATCAATTTTGATACCATCCCTTGATAATTGGTGGCCTAAAAATGTGAGAGACTTTTGTGAAAACTGGCACTTGCCTTTATTTAGAGTAAAGCCTGCATTTTGAAGCTTTCCAAGTACTTCTTCAAGAGCATGATCGTGTTCTTCTTTGGTTTTTCCCCAAACAATGATATCATCCATATGAGCGACTGCATTCTTTTGTCCATTGAGGGTCTTGTTCACTAACTGTTGGAAAATCTCTGGTGCTGAACTTATACCAAAGGGCAATTTTAAAAACTTGAAACGACCGAATGGCGTTAAGAAAGTGGTCAAATCTTGTGATGTCTCATCTAAACTGACTTGCCAGAATCCGTGGTTGGCGTCTAATTTTGAATATAGCGTTGCTCCAGAGATTTGAGCTAGAGTTACATCAACTGGTTGGATAGGATAGTATCTTCGCTTTACACTCCTGTTTAATTTTGATAGGTCTACACAAATGCGAACTGTATTGGAATCTTTCTTGGGAACAACAACCATTGGAGCACACCAATCTGTTGCATGGTGGACTTCAGCTATGACTCCCATGGAGATCATGTTTTTCAATTCTTCTTTTGTAGCCTGCCACAGAGGCAAGGGGATCCGGCGAGGGGCATTGATAGCATAAGGAACGACATTATCTTTTAGTTCGACTTTATACTTTTCAGTAACATTCCCTAAGCCATTGAAAAGTTTTGGGTAATTAGCGAACCACGAGTTAGAACTTATTTCATTTATTCTAGATACAAGCTGGAGCTTTTCAATTGCTGGTTTTCCTAAAAGAGGAACAGAAGTCCCTTTAGAAACATATATTGTTTCATAGCATGTTGTATTCTTGTATGACATTTTGACAGTAGCCATCCCTAAAATTGACAGATCTTGCCCATTAGCCCCTTTAAACTGTTTAAGGGTAGGCGACAATCTAATTCTTCTGTTTAATTTAATGTCTGATGGCACGACTGTTACATCTGCTCCTGTATCTATTTTGAATGCAACACTGTCACTGTCATTGATATTTAATAATACTGTCCATGGATCAGTAGGCCTAGATGAATAAATTTGGCTTGGAGTCACCGAACCAATAAAGTCTTGTGATTCAGGGTTTAGATTATCAATTGATTTAAAATCGTCAGTTTCAACATGGTTTACGTTTTTTGATCGACAAACTTTTGAGAAATGTCCAACTTTACCACAGAGTTTACATGTGTGGTTTCTAGCAGGGCACAAATACTTTTGGTGAGATGGAGTCAAACCACACCAAAAACAAGATTTGATATTTTTATGAATGGCTTTAGCATTATTGGGTTTGTTAGGAAAACAACAGATGTTAATTATAACATCTGCTTAATATTACAACAAATAGTTATTCTAATATTTATAGTTAGGCCTACATAGAGGTTATTTTATAAAATTACACTGTGGCCCTTAACTCCAACGGTGTGCAGTGAACTCATCAACCAAATAGAACGCCTGATTTTTCAAGTCACGCTTCAGTTCCGTTTTGAATAGAAGGGAACTTTCCAGACTTTTAAGCCTTTCAGGAAGACAGCTAAGGAGCCTGACACCTAATTGAGAAGGAAGTTTCTCAAATGCAGCTGTTCGGTGTTGGGCAGTGCGAAAACTTTCCCTTGCTCTAGTCCCATGGCTGTGCACAGCAGTGCCTTGGATAGGCACATGTTGAAACCAATAAGGTACAGGTAAATTACACAGTAGGCTATAATTTTTTATATTATATGTACATGCTAATAAGTTAATTTCAGACTGTAATGTGAATTCGCAATAGCTCAGATATTTGGAATAGTTATTAAACAATTAATTCTTATAAATTTCATTGTACTATTCACACCTTAATAAGCTCTTTTTTTTAATTTGACGGTTTAGGCCTATTATTTCCAGACTCAATAAGTTAATCTTTGCTTATGTTTTAAATAAACTGAACTAATAGGCCTAGAAGTATTGGATTTGAAATAGTTAACTTAAATCATTTGCACATCGTAAAATATTAAAATCAATCAACTCAACATCAACAAAAATGTTTAAACAAAGGCAGACAAACCAAACTCCTAAGAGTCTTCTTCACCCCTGCGAAAACAATAAAAACTTGTCCCTCGCTCCGGATGGAATGTTTAAAGATACAATGTTAAAACTTTTTTCCCTTGCATATTAATGTTGGTTCTAGAGCCCTCATACATGATATATCCAAGAAAATCAATAGTATAAGTATAAAAAAGTTGTGAAGTAACATAAATTGAGTCATTTTTAAACACTGATAAAACTAATTATTATTTTCAACCTTTTGAGGTACAAGAGCTCTAATATAACTATTCAACTACATTGATACCAAATTTCTAAGAAAATTTGTTGAAAAACGGCCTCCGAAACGGGGGACGAAATTAACATGTTTGTCAGAGGCTACTGCGCTACTAGCCTTTTACAAAACTTGGCACAGGCGGCAGATGAATCACCCAAGTGTCGATTTATTAGGTAGTCGTGTGTTTACGATGTTTTCAGAATGGCCCCGCGCTACCCGCCCGTCCTCAACAATTTCCCCAAGGCCATATCCCCAAAACGGAACTACACCGAGGGAGATGAAGACTCTTTAAGTTGTCATAACAAACCCAACAATCAAAATATGGACTGAATACAGAAGCATGAAATGTAATATTTTGAACTATTTCATACATTTATAATTTAGAAATTTAACATTAAAACTTATTAACATTGTAAAATACCACAAAAAGTGAATAGGTACCTACTCAAGTTGCAAGACCCACCTGATTGACCTTCGTCCTTGTTTTTTGCTGTGTCTGTATCCATTCTGCCATTCGCTGAGGTTCGGTACAGCCGTTGAAAAATACTACTAAATCAATATTTGCCTTTTGAAGATTTGTTACAAACTGTGCAAGAAAACTGACCATTCGATTCCACTGTCCTCCACATGCCCAATCTAAAATGTACATAATGTAATGCATTAGGCTTACAATTTGTAAGGTCGATGGTAGTTTAAAACAAATAAAATTAAGTATGCGAGCTACAAAATATTGTAGGCCTAAATTACTCTCTTTTCTTATCAATAAACCGAGGTTTTTAGGGCTTCTACTTTCCAGGAATACTGTAAAGAGTAAAAAATTTCAAATCCTTTTACCGGTATTTTAGATTAAGGCTAAATGTGTCAGAGTAAGTGAATATATTAAAGCATAGCTAATATTAAATAACATTTCTTTTAGTTATTTGATTTGGTATAAAACCAAATTGGAAACAAATTTAAACACTGTATTAAAACTTTTATAAGTCCTAACTGTTTTTAGCATATTAAAAAAAAATCTTTTTTCTGGCTTTAAAATATTATTATAAGTTTTCTATGCTAAGCCTTAGGCCTGCAACAAATAATATTAATTACAAAATGCACTAGACATCCTAACTTAATTCATGAAATTAGTCTGAACACTGAAACTATTTTTTAATACAAAGTAATGGTGCACACATCACTAAAATGTCTAAAGGTTTGGAGCCTTCATTACATTTCTCTATCTAAATTTGAAACAATTTCACTTATGTCCTGTTGCAACAAGGTGTATTTCAATTGAATATCAAATATGGATAGTACAACATAGGCTATAGTACCTGAGAAGAAACCACCATAAAGACGATCCAAACAGCATTCTCCATCAACTACAAGACTGAATTTCATTAACGGGCTTCCACCTTTTTTCTGTGCCTGTTTTGCAAGGCGCTGAGTTACGGTTTTTGCTATTCGTACGAGATCCACCCCAACACAAGACTCAGGTATGGCACCACTTTCAAGAAATGTTTGAAGATCCTGGATCCCCATTATGAATTTTGCACTTGTCACTTGTAAAATTAAAATTCACTCATCCAGTAATGTGAATCATTTAAAAACCTGAAAGAAACAAATTGTTTGAGAAAAACATGAAAATTTAACCCTGTTGAGATAGGATCAATGTATCACTTAACTTAAAAGAATTCAGCTTTCTCTGCACGTTCCTCTATATCTGTTGAGCAAACACACAGAGATAACGTAAACTAAATAGTGGAATAGGCCTGTGAATATTTTTTAACTTCTTGATAATGCCGTATATTTTTTTATAATTTTCATCAAATTATCAACCGTAAAAATTTTACGTAGGCTTAATTAGTTAATGATGGATAAAGAAGTTAAAAAATATTCACAGGCCTAGACTAGGCCTATTTATTGTTTTATGTCTGTGTTCTTTATCTCTAAGCTCTTGTTTTATATGTAATTTTTTTATCCACTTAATTTTATCAATGAACTAAGTATGAGAGGCCCTAGTAAAAAAAATAGTAGGCCTATTTAACTTAGATTATTGCTAGGTTTTGAACTAACTTGGGCAAGGAATATTGGTTTTAAGTTCAAAATTGAATGTAGACAGAATATTGATTAACACAGCAATAATTTTAAGTTTGATACTATTTTTATAACAAAATTACATATAAAACAATACGTAGCTTGGGCCTAAGACCGTCAAGTTACAGTAAATCAGCATTTTAAAATTATAAAACTTTAGGGAAAATTTATTTGGTACATATAGGCCTACCTAGGCCTAATGTTTTTTTTTATTTTTTTTTTTATTTTAGTAAAGGATAATATGGCTAGGAAGTTTTTACTTACTTAGTTGCAATAACAGAAAACAATTTAGACCAACTACTTTTTCTAACACAATGATCCTCTTACAGGGGTGGTGAAAAGTCCCAGGACTGCTTAATATTTTTTTTACTGTTACAGATGGATCTATACAAGTTGGTACACTGTTACTAGGCATAAAACATTATTTTACTACAACTTCAATGAGCCGTTTACCACTTCAGGGGGGCCGCCCACAAGGAGTCGGAAGAAAATCTTAGAAGCATTGGTTGATATGCACATAGAATTAAAGACCTTTACTAGTCGAATAAAAATACTGAAAATTTGAACTCGAGCGGACAACAGAGTCAAAAATGGCAGCCGTTCAAAGACTCCTTGAATCTACTATTTTGAATCTTAGAATGACTGCCATTTTTGACTCGGTAGTCAGTTTGAGTTCAAGTTTAAAGGCCTTTAATTTGATATCAGTACATATCAACATATATGCATATGTTTGTGATTTTCTTCCAAATTCTAGCGGGTGGCCCCCTGAGAAGGTAGCAAGTAACATTGCAAAGTCGATGCATCTTTGAATGGCTGTAATTTGGGCTTAGTTGTCTGTTTGAGTTCGGGTTTGCGCCATTGTATTTTACTAACAAAGACCTTTCATTTGATGTGCATATGCTTACATTTAATATTTTCTTCCCACTCCTTATGGGCCGTCCCCCTGAAGTGAGCCGCTCATTGAAGTTGCAGTATAATAGTGTTTTATGCCCAGTAACAGTGTACCAACTTGTATAGCGCCATATGTCATGGTTAAAAAAATATTATGGGGACTTTTCACAACCCCAGTATATAATTTGTTCAAGAAGGCATAAGCTAGAAGTTACACGATCATAGACAGAAGATTTTTTATTAACCTACACTTTTAACCAGGCTTTGTGTGTGACAAATTTGTAGCCTATATCTTGTTTTGTGATCAATTAAGGAGTGAGTAGGCCTAAGTTATTTGTACAAGATTCTTAAAAAAACAATTGGATACATAATATCTATAAAAGAGGAAGTATGTATGTATATACCCTATGGGCTCCAAAACCGCTCAAAGGGGCTCCCCCCCCCCCCCCCAGAGGGTTTTAAGGGATCCAATGTCAGACTTTTGGAACTACAATGATTACAAATAAAAGCAGATGTTTACTTTTAACCAACTGTTTTGAGTAGGTTTGAAAAACACACCATTCTGTATTAGTCATGATTTAAAATAGTGCCAAATTGTTTCCACAGAATGCAGCACAGAAAACTATTTTACTTTTGATCCAGTGTAGGCCTACCCCCGTGCGCGTGGTAGTGTCTCAAATTTATTATCAAAATTAGTATTAATAACGCTATAACTTTATCATTATAATTTAGATAGCATTGAAATTTTGCCATAAAACTTATTATCTGTTAACCAATTGGATGGAAATGTTTAGCCATAGAGTTCACAGATCTAGCCTCCCAGTGCAAAGGCACGTCTGCCTTGGACAAAAAGACGCCAAGATCAAATTTAAGTGTAAAACCTTAAAAAAAAAAACAATATTCCCGGGAAAGATTTAAAATATTTGTGAAGTGTGTATGTAAGAACTTCTAAACCAACCACTAGGTGAGGATGTTTGAAAACCCCAGCTAATATGAGAACAAAAATTAAGTACAGATATTAAACTCGAACTTGAAGCCAAATGTCCAACTAAAAAACTTAACAAAATCCCTCCGCTAAGGCTTTTTAAATAAATTATATAAGAGAAGATCTTCAATCAGTTTGTCCAAATGTAGATATTTGCAAGCACAGCTACGTCAAGCTGCTCACCAGAAAGATTGTTTTCATGCCTTGAAAGGGCAACATATTATTTAAGCAGAAGCCGATCTTCTGAAGAAAGACTTTTAGTTAACTAGAAGTCTTGAATATTGAACTACTGTAACTGCTGAACTCCCTAGACTTAGCTTGGACTGTTATTGATTTATTTCCAAAGTTTCAATCAAGGAGAAAAGATTGAACTAAGTTAACTACTAACTCAACTCATTCAAAATTGTATATGTTATTCTTTAAAGTAGGATCTATCATGGAGGATATATAATGCTTATAACGCTTTTCATTGAACACTTTTAGTCAGATCCACTTACCGGTACTTTTTTTTATACTAACTTTTTTTGTTTTGATTCATTTAGTTTCAAAATAACATAACAACAGTTTTTCGGTACATAGCAACAGTTTTGTAAATAAAAGTATTTGTGATTGTATATCTGACTAAAAGTTTTCAATGAAAAGCGTTATAAGAACCCTTCTATACGGACGTTTTTGTGTGCCGTTTACGCACCGCAAAACGCGATTATGACTCTTCTGATTGGATACCTAACAACATTGCATTCCATGTAGGCTATGCAAAACAGAATCGCGTTTTGCATGAAAACGGGGAAACAAAAAAAACTGTAAAAGAGGGCTCAAAATGTTATTATTTGTTGATGCAGCATGCAATTGCCGATTACTTTTCAATAAAAACAGCTAGCAGGGCATGTACTGTTATTCTTATTATGGTCAGTGAGCATGCTCACAAGGGTGGGGGGGGGGGGGCGGCTAACTTTGCTGCCTAGAGGCGGCAGATAGTTAAATACGGTTGCAAACCAGGAAATGTAATCCACTAGACTCCAGCACGTGCTCCAGCGTAAAAAACCAAGCGCTTATGAGTTAAAACAATAGTTAGTAACAGCATGGCGCGCTGGGTAATTGCTAGTTAACTTATATTTATAGATTTTAAGTTGAAAAGTAGACTCATCGGTAACCCAGAGATGAGGCAATGCCGGCAGGACCAATTATTAAGAGTAGGACAGAATCTAAGATTGTTAGCATAAATGAGTACCTAGATCCTTTTTATGTAAAAGCTAAATGGGCAAAAACTTGAAAACAGGACAATTGCTGTCCCCAGCTAATTATCTCTCTTCTATCATGTATTTCTTACTTCTAATGGTTTTAAATAATTTATCATACTTTACTTTATATAAAAATGTGTAATTTGTATTTGTTTTTGTTGTATTTAATAAAGAAAAGTGTGTTTAAAAAGTTCATGTTGTCTACATTTAATGCAAAAACCCTGTCCCCAAGATTAGAAGTTGGATACAATAACCCTACCTCTTCAGTATTATTAAGACGATATTGTTGTAATATTTGGTTTTAAATTGATGAATAATGTTAAAAGATTATAAAAATACATCAAACGGACTTTTTAATTAAATATAACGGCAATAGCGGGCGTTAAAAGTCGCGTCCCCAGCCGGGAACGTAATGCTGGGTTCGAGGGTTGGGACCGGTTCTCGTCGGGTCATTGAACCTTCTCGACTTCGGGTGGAACAAGACTTCGCCCTCTCTCAGTTCCTTGTTAGATGTGGGTGTGGTAGGTCAGACGCGATGTGACTCCAGGCTTTGCAGGTTAACAGGTAAGTCGTTTTTTAAAACCTGTTTTGTTAGCGTTAAGTTTTTGCGTAATGCTCGGTACCCTTGATAACTGTGACAATAAGGTGAATAAGTTATTGAAAACTAAGAAAATATAAGTAAAACAAATATTAAATCAAACATAATAGCTTGCGAAGGGAACTATGCCACCATGTTTCGTTTTAGTCAATGACGAGAGTAAAAATGCTAATATCGGTCACGCTAATGTCGGTCACAAAATCTGAGGATCTGAGGTGTGACCAGCATTAATTTTCGTACATTTTGTGACCCAAATTACTTCTCTTATGAGTTTTCAATGTCGAGAATTTTTTTTTTCCAGTAACCCACGATATGATTGGTGATTGCTTATATTTATTTTCTTTACGATAAATATTCTGATTGTGGAGACTATATGACAATCTGGGCGGCCAGAGTTTGGCTGCGAGATTAGCGAGAAAATTACGAACCTCGCTCAGTCTGATGTGACCTATCATTAGCAGACGATAAAATCCAAAGGTGACACAGCGTTACTAATATTATGCATTACTGTAATTAACAAATTGCTGACACCTCTGTTGTGATGTTAGTTAATGGATCCAGCTGAAAATTTGTAAAACGTATTTGAATCAACAAACGGAAGTAGTTTTAAAGTTTTTTTTAAGTTCCACTGAATGAAACAACGTTGGAATTCAACGATTCCCAGTCCTAAAAATTGCCATTTTCTGACTATGTTAATAAAATTAAACAAAGTCAGTGGGTATTTAAATGCCAATAATTTCCAATCTAAAACGTATCCTAAGCTTCCTGTTTAGTTAATTCAATATTTAACACAGATTTTTACATTTTCGGTTTTATTTTTTTTATAAATTAACTACAGTAATAACAACTAGTTGGCTGGGTGTAGGCATCTAGTAATAGCCTACACGACATATGATACAGTGGAGCCCCGAAAGTCTGAAACTCGGTAATCCGAAAATCCATTTAATCTGAAACTATAATGTTGATGCTGTTCATCAGGAAATGGAAAGAGCGGGATAGTTTTACCAATCGCGGTATTTATCATTTTCAGCCTGAAGAAATTGATTTGTCTTGATAGTATATAAATATTGAGTATTATACTAAATATTTCATGATTTAGATAATTAATTGTATTTTAAGTTTACTTAATTCACTTTTCTGTTTATACTCTATGTCTAAATATACTCATTTATTTGCAATGTTAATGTGTTTATTGCACAAAGACTGTTTACTTTGACTTTTTGGTATATGCAATTATTGATCATAGTATTATTTGTAATTTCCATATACTTTTTCCACATCCTGGTCAGTACTGGTCATAAAATTGTTTTCCCGTATGGGATGATGGTAAAATAATGATATTTGTTCATAGTAAGTACAATCAATTTTAATTTCTTGTTTTGTATACCATGTAATTAAATTATTTACCCTTTTCATTCTAAAGAAATTGGTTTTGCTTGATATTAAATAAATAATGAGTATTAAACTAGATATTTCATAGTTAATTAATTGTAGAAAATAATTTTTCATTTTTAATAAAAGAAACGTCATTTCTCAAAGAAGATAAACTTTTTATTTTCAGATTGCAAGAGTTTGCCTGTAATTTTTCTTTCAATTTTATTATCTATTTTAAAAATAAAACATAACAGTTTTATAATGCTTACGATCTCCATTATTGATGCATTTGAGGCAATGTGTAATGTCAGTCACGTTACCTGCATTACATGTAATGTCAGTCACGTGATGCATTTGAGGCAATGTGTGTAATGTCAGTCACGTTACCTGCATTACATGTAATGAGTCACGTGACCTACATTAGCTGTAATTTGGGTCACTCTTGTAATGGTGGGTCACAAAGTTTTTGTTGCCATATAATAAAAACCACTAATTCAAATGGTCGTTTTATAATTGGAAATTGTACTTATAAGTACATTATTTGGAAAAAAACCAAAACACAACCTATAATAAGTAATGTGTGTTGGATAAAGGAAAAAGAGAGATCCTGAAATCATGTCCACAAATTTATTACAGTTTTATTTGAGCTTTTAACATCAAATATATTCATAAACTATTATATTTTTCACACTTGACTGTTATTTGGTAACCTAAAAAGCTAATGGAATCATAATTACCATAATTCTTTCAAGCTAACTGTGTCAAAACTTAGGATTTTGTGTGTGACCCACATTACACAAAAACCTGTCCCCAAATTTCTCTTCTAGTAATAATTAATTAGGCTATATAAATTAATTTCAGACTTAAAAACATTATATTTATGAACTACAAAGACCAAACTTTCAAAAAATATAAGATTTATTAATGTAGGTAAGTATAATTTTTTTCAAATGCTGGGGACAGCAATTGTCCTGTTTTCAAGTTTTTGCCCAAATAATCAAATAGGCATAACTAAAATACAATAACTTATAAATGGTGGTAACCAAATAATATAGGCATAACGTTCAGAGTAAGAGTTTTGAAGAAAAAACGCCTATTAAAAAGCAGTTGAGACTAGATCAAGTACACTTTGCCTTGCTTGCACATTTTTGATATCGTTATTTCATTGTGTTTTACCCACTATTTAATTGTGAAAAAACAGTGTGGAAGTTGCATAAATTAATGGGTCGGTTCATTAAAACCTAACCTTTACCTTCCTAATCTAACCTCACTTCAAAACACTTAATACAGTCACGAATCCGCATAAAACCCGACCTAACTTCCTCACATGCATAAATAAGAACTGATTATTTGGTTTCAAAAGGAATTGATTTGATTTCATTCCGCATTAGATCAAGTATAAACAGTTGTTTGCTCTTCTCACTCAGTCCTCCGCACTCCTCACTCTTCACTCAGTACGGACCCGTCCAGACCACGCCATATTATCATTAGCCTACCACCTTCAGTACCGCTCAATTATCCTTAGATTCGTAATCCTAACCTTCGTTTCACGGCCACAACGGCCACTTAGGAATCTCTCCGACAAAAACTGATTGCATTTTTGGATTCAGCGTTAAAAATACTGTAAGTAGACATATAAAAATTACATCATATCCCAATCTAAATACGGTAAATATTTGCTGGACATTTAAACTTAAGTACAGCCCAAATAGGCATAACTTACCTACAACTTGTCTCCTGTAGGCCTAAGTTAATGTTAACACGTTGACTGCGCGTGCCGACTTTAGTCGGCGTCGCCAGCGCTCCCAGATGGCGCGCGCCGACTAAAGTCGGCACCAGACCAACAGAAATATATTGAGTCAGTGTGAGCTTAGCCTCAGACGGAGACGTTGTAATCGTTGCCAGCCTGCCAGCTTAGAATGCGAGCTTTACTTTGGTGTAGGTTGGTACTAAAATTTCCCGTAAAATCCTGTCTGGCAATGCTTTTGTCCCGGTTTCGGGTATTTTTTCTCTTCAACCCACATTACAAAGACACTGGATACGGATCCATGCAGTGCTGCTACCTTTGGGTGTTTCAGTGAACTACATCCACTCTCGGGGTAACGCAGCACAGTCACCACTGCTCTTTTGTGATTCGTCAGACTGAAATATTTGAATGCCAATTGCGTTCGCTGATTCGGTTGCGCGCCGGGGCTTCGCCCGACACTGGGGAGCGCCTGTAAAGTCGGTGCGCGCAGTCAACGTGTTAAATCAAAATTGAGTTAACTTTTATTTCTAGGCTAAGTATTTAAGAATTAACTTACCGGTAACGGTAATTAGAGACTTATGAAATCATAACTAAATGGTAAGATAAGCATTTAGGCCTAAGTAAGTATACAAGCAAGTCTTAAGAATCATGTTTTGGTTCATTAGCTTCCAAATTTCTAAGTTAAAGGCTTTAACTTAGGCTAAACTTAAGTTAGGCCTAATTATAAAATAGGCAGGCCAATCTGTCTAAAACAAGAATTAAGAATACATACCAAAAGTTCCAGAGATTATACTAGCAATTAACTATTATATGGATAAAAATTAATAATTATGGGCGATTAAACATGGTAGCCTACCGAAGTTTCAAGTTAGGACTAAGCATGAACCTTGAATGAATTCGGCAAGTTGGTCACCAATAAAGTAGGACCTACAACCAAATAGGGATACACAATTTTATAGCCTTAAAAATAAACATGAGATGTGAATTGTACGTACCATTTAAATCATCTAATCCTCTAAAGAAAACCCATGCTACAGAATCCCTGAGTGTAGGGAAGTGGTCCGTCTCCTCCCAACCGAATGACCGGCAAGAGCAGAAGGGTGGTTCACAATTTCTAATGAGCTGGATTGTGAGAGGGGAACTAACTATTGATAAAAAACACTTATCAAGTAAAGTTAAGACAACTAACTTGGCATTCAAACAAAAACCAGAAATTTTAATCGTTCTAAAACATCCTAACGGAGTAACTATGGAAGAATGGAGCGCCGATCACATCCGCCATTTTCTCGATGAACAGTGAGAAGATGAAGGAGGAAGGAAGAATCTAAGCACTTAATAATGAAGACAGTAAACGGAAAATTAATATTGACTAGCATTGGAGAAACGGAAGTGTGTTAATAGAAGCACTGATATATAATAAAACAGTGTTATATTATCAATTCTATTGCTATTATCAAAGTAGAAAAATCATTTTTTTCTTAACATTTTTACCCTCCCTGTTGCAGCAAACCTAAGTACTCGTTAAACTAATGCTATTTTAGAGAACAAATGTGTTATTTTTAAGGAGACATTTTAGTGTAAATCCAATAAGTCAAATGGAAATTCGCTTGGTCTGCAGGTTTGCTGTGGCGTGAGTATTTATCTTCATCTTCAGATATTTGGAATATGAGTGGGTTTCCCCGTTCACACCCATTAAAAATAAAAATCATCAGATTATAAATGGGGCCCATTTCATAATAAACTACAAGTTACAGCTTGTAATTTCCATTAGATTTGCATTGGGCGATCAGCTGATTTACTAATAATATTAGTTTGTACTTTATTATGAAAAAGGTCCCAGGTGATAGGATCCTGATCTTAGACCTTGGACGTAGATAATAGATGTAAATCTGGTTAAATAAATGACTTATGACTTACTCCCTTAGTTGAATTCACAACCATGATAGTGTGGTCAGCAGAAGCCAATTGTGTGTATTGTTAGTAGTTCTGTCCGGTACACTGTAGAGGTCGTGTTTTTGTATTCAATTTGTGTCGTGCTATTTCAGTCATTTAAAACCTCGTTTAAACCATCCAATCATTAGCAAACACTTGTTTTCTAGTTCGCCAAACAGTTAAGCACAAATGACATGAACTAAACACGAAAAACGAGCTTCAAAAAATGACAATGGGTTGATGAAGTCGACTTATGTTGGTTAGTCTATGCCTTGGAGCTGATTGCATAGCCTACTGGGGAAAAAATGGTTTATAGTGCTTACCAAGTTATCAGAGGGTCACCGCCGGTTCAATCTATAAAAAGAGTCGGTTAAATGTGTTCGTGGTTCGAAACTGGACCCACCTGTTTTTAGTAACAGCGAATATTTGCTAGTAACAAAGCTGCATAAGTCTAAGGCTTTTTCAGTAGCCTTGGCTTTGGCACAAGTCATCTAACTCCATTATGATGACATTGTTTCTATTGTTCTTTTTGCATCCACACGCATTGACGAGTAAAACATGTATGCATATATATATATATATATATATAAGATCTATCTTTTATCCTTGATTCAAATCTTTACTAAATATTTGTATAATGTTTAATATAACCCTGTTTACATGCATATAGTAAGTTGTCAGCTCATGGTCACCTTAGCTTAAAAAAAAATACTCATTAGTCATTAAGTGTTGTCGCTGCTTTAGATTGACCCAGGTTTTAGTAAATTATGGCGGATTTGGACACACCAAATGTTTGTCTCCTATCATATTATTATTAACTCTATAGCCTCTTCTATTTTAATAAAGAATTTTTCCTACAGTTACCTAACAATGTACATGTTCTCTCACCAGTGGCGGCTAGCCCATAAGGACTCTCGGACGCCGCCCTCCCAACAATACATAAATAAATTACATTTTAATATTAATATAATTCAGTTAAATGTAATTAAATTTACTTTAACGAGTATTTCAAACTACATACAACATAAATATATCAAATAATTGGATAATTTAATTCAGTAAAGACTAAATTTTGATCGTCGCTTGCTTAGTAAGGACGGCGCGGACGGCGGCCAGACCGTCCCAATCCCAATACATGTAGTCTTATGGCAGAACAACCAAACCGCTCTGAGGGTGCCATGACGTCATTCCATTGCTTTAGTATAGGCGCTTTGGGGCAGAGTCCAAAGCTGCGCACGCACCTTAAATCAGGGCAGCCACCACAATCTGGATATTCTGTATGGCTTACAAGCTACAGTTATGAAGGGTAGAACTGATGTTGGCGCACCTGTTTGTCATAACTCAAACCATATAATTTCTAAAACTAGAAATTAGAAAACAACTGAGCTAACCTCCAAATGTTATTTTGGTTTCGTGATGATGTTTAGTGATTGATGAATAGTGATGTAGAAGTACTGTTTGTGCAAGTATTTAAGCAAAATACTTACATTGTATACTCTATTAAATTGATTTCACATCCAGTTTAGTTAAAAATAGGCCATGCATTTCTGGTTAATTAATATTATTGAAGAACAATATATTTTTAGGTACCGGTATAAGTTTAAATGTAATTTGTTTTCGTAAGTGGTTTTACTTTTTTGGCTTTCTATTCCTTAATCCCTAAGATATTTTATAGAATATTATCATTATTTTGGCAACGTTATTTTCAGGACAGACCTATTTGCAGACACTGTAATTAAGTTAAATACAATAGGAGCCTTGGGCTTGGAAACAAGTTTAAATATATATATATATCGTAGGCTAGGCCTATGTGGGTTTGTATTACAAATTTAAGAATTAAATCTTTTAAAATTATTTGACAAACGTGAATGATGTTAGGCTTTCGTTTAAAGTTTATATATAAAAATATGCAGAGCCCTCCCACCACCTATGAACACCAGCCGCTACTGTACTCTCACTGATTTGAGAAAGCAAAGTGGCCAATTCGCTCATCAGTGAGACAATGTTAACATTGTCTCACTCTAATTACTTTGTCTCACTCCAGATTTGCAACGTGAAGGCACGAAATAGTGAGCGCGTAACATGCAGGTACGTTGGCAGCACTGGCTGTAAATCAGCTGGTCAGCTGTTGTACTTTGTCACTTCACATTAAATGTTATATTAAAAGTTCACTTCTGTGTAAAAATAGGTTATGTTTGAAGAAACATAAGACCAATTTATTTGTTTTATGGTAACTGTAGGAAAAGTATAATGTGCAACTCGAGTTCAAAGTACAATTGCCTCACTCGAGAAACCATTCGTGAGTAAGGATTTCTCTCGAGTGAGTCAATTGCTTACTTTTCTCACTAGTTGCACAAATAACTATTTAATCTGTCTTGAAATATAAATAAATAATAATCTACGGGTTTTGTTATCCTCACTTTACATTTATTTCCTATAGGTATAAATAATAACTATAAGCTTTCTATGATTCACAACTCAGATTTTAAACTTTCTGTTGTGAGTGTTGTGGCAGTCCTGACTGAAACTAAGACTTCAAGAATTTCTCAATATGTCTGTTGTTTTGTTTACGTTGCACTAATTCTTTAGGGCTAATTTCGCAATTTTAACTCCCTCATGTTTTTGTAAAACTTAATTTAAGCCTTTTAAACTAAGGGTATGACAGATTTACCCAGTCCAAAATTTGATTCGATATGTCGCCTGTGTTCCACGGGTGTTGTATCTGGTTCTGGTTCACGTTCGATTTTAGATAACCCTGAAGGATCGAACTTGAAAGTGGCTGACCAAATATGGGAGTGTCTTCAAATTAAGGTATAGGCCTAGGCAATAAGATCATTAGTCCTTAGTATCAAGAATTTTTTTCATAAAAATAAATTTTCAATTACAATCAAATTTAAACTAAGCCTTATTCTAGTCTGCATACTCAAGTTGGCTATCTGATGGCTATTACAATATAATAAATTTGTACCTAGGATATCTTATATTGGTTTTTAATAGTTTAACTACAAACAGGTAATAAACTACGAGATTGTAGTACAATGTAAGAATTAATTGGTATAGACATAGAGTAGCCTAACTTAAACTGCAGCCCAAAAATAAAAGGAGTGGTTACGTTTCGGACTACGGTTCCACTATCTATCTTACCTATTACTTACTTGATACTTGATGATGTCCCACTAGCATCGCTCCTGTGACGTGGTCGTCAAATGGGTAGAAACACAATAATAGGCCTAATTGAACAGATCTTCTACTTTAAAATAGGCCGCTTCACATAAATATTCCTTTAACATCTTCTTGAATTTATTGATATTCTGCTCTTGAATAATGTTCCTTGGTAGCGAGTTGTAGATCTTGACACTACTAAAATATGGGCTCTTGCAGGCCAAAGTTGAGTTAACTTGGGGTACATGTACTTGATTAGATCTTCTCGTGTTGTACTAATGGACCAGATTGTTTGTGAAAAAGATGTCCGGATTATTTCTCACCAATATGGCAGATTCTAAAATAAATAGTGATGGGATGGTTAAAATTCGAAGGTCCTTGAATAGGGGCCTACTGTGAGCAAGACGTTGAGCACCACACATTCTCCTAATAATTCGTTTCTGGAGGAGAAAGATCCTATTGGCCATGGTACTACCTCCCCAGAACACTATTCCATAAGATATTATACTGTGAAAACAACTACCGGTACCTATAATAAACTTTTAACAAAATGTCAGTCTGGACCAATTTCTGGAGCCTATTAATTAAATTGATTACAGATTGATTATTGATCTCGAAGCTATTGAATTAATATGTACATCCCACTTGAGATTTTCTGTTATGTGCAGGCCAAGATATTTTACTTTTTCACGGAAAGTGAGTGCGACCCCATCTATCACTAATTGAGGAGCTGGTTCAGGTTTTTTCCTATTGTATAATTCCATAAAGTTTGTCTTATCAGAGTTCAAGATCAAGCAGTTTTCGTTACACCAATTTTGCATCTCAATTAAACTAGATTGAGTATCTTCAATATGACTGACACGATCAGAGTTACAGATTAGGTGACATAAATCCTCAGCAAAAAGCCACACATTTCCAGATGTTATGGAGTCAGGTAGGTCATTAACATAGAGCAAGAACAATAGAGGCCCTAGGTTTGATCCCTGTGGAACACCCACATTAGGGGATGGAGCCGACTTATATGTGCGCAGAGTATTGTCATTCCCAAAATGCTCGAGTGAGACGACCAAGTGGCGGTCTCTTAAATAAGAGAATATCCAATGCAGAGGTCTTCCTGCAATTCCCAGGGAAAGTAGTTTACAAAGCAGGACACTATGGTTTAGCAGGTCAAAGGCCTTGGTCATGTCGTAAAATAGGCATAGAAGGCTCTCAGAAAGATCCAGGTGGTTATAGATGTTCCTCAGGAGGGCAAAGACAGCATCAGATGTAGACATATGTTTTCGGAACCCAAACTGACTCTCAGTCAATATATTATTAAATTCTATAAACCTAAGGAATCTCTTCAAAAAATGATTTCAAATAGGCCTACTTTTCCTATACATGGTTGCACAGAAATTGGGCGATAATTACTAACAGCAAGTGGATCAGCCTTTTTATATACAGGTACTACTTTAGATGTTTTTAACTTTGTTGGAAAACAGCCAGTTTCAAAGGATTTATTTAAAATTTGCGAGGGCTTCAATAACATTTTCATTACAAAGCTTGAGAAGGCTGCATGGTATCTCATCAACACCTGAACTTTTCTTGGATCCCAGTGAATTTACCACCTCCCTCACCGCAGCAACAGTAGTATGTGTGAGAAAAAAGCGTCCCTCACCTAAGTCAACAGACTAAGAGAGATAGAATACAAAATGTCATGTCTTTTACAGGTACTACCTACTACCTACATAAAAGCCTATGCAATTTATACATAGGCTACCGAACACAGGTTCGCTTGTGACCTAATTTATTCCCTATTTCGATGCTGAATAGGAATAAGTTCCCCAAATCATTTTTGCCTGATTTGAATTCCACAGACAAATAGTTTTCCGCAGGAAATAACGATAGGTTGGAGACATTTAATCAACAAATTTTTAATTGTCTCTCCATGATTATCTATGAAAAATACCCATGTTAAATGTGGGTTTTGGCCCTAACTTTAACTTACCTACTTAACTTAGGCTACGTTAGTTAAACTTAAATTGATATTTTGTGTTAAGAGGTAAGTTAGCTTAACTCTTATTGGTAAGATTGTAGCATTACATGTAATTCATTCATCATTAAAGTTAAGTTATTTACCCTATAATTTTGAATGTTTTCTCCTGAAACGTTTGTTATTACCCCATAATTTTTATGTTACCAGTCATTTAAAATGTTTCCCCTTGTTTATTTGTTATTCAATTTGTTTAATGTCAATCATAATATCCCATCACCTTGCAGAAATATCATCCCCCCTTATTACATTGTGATAATGCAACATGTTGTTGCCGATTGATTTAGTGTCTTCAGTTTCGTATGGCTTTAAAAGTGACTGAATTGTTTTAGGTTGATCTTCTTTTATATTCCGTTAAGTGTCTGATCCATTTGTAAATCTAGTAGCTTTATTTTACTTAAGATATTGTTTTCAAGCGGGTGTGGCTTAGTACCGTTAAGGGATTCAGGGAATGCTATTTTGTGGGATGAATTTTGTTTAAGTTGTTGGCTACTATTGAAGTTTGATTAGGCCTAGGCCCCCTACTGTATTATAATGGGTGGAATTGTGTTCTTTAAATCCCTCATTGAGAGTTCTATTATTGTTCTAGTGGCCAAATAACTTCCTATATAACGTACCCATGGATGTGGAAAGCGAATAGGGTGGACCTCTTGTCAGGAATTTTCGATTTTGAGTTACAGTATATATAGCCTATAGGCTACAGTATTTGAATTCCTTATTAAATTTTGAATCACTTGGTGCACGTCCCATGCATCATGCATCTACGATTTTGTTGTTGTTAAATTTATAGGACTTTGAAATTTTGTTATGGAAAAGGGTAGGACTTAATTTTGAAAAGTTCAAATAGCGTGTACGCATATAAAAGTTTTTTTTTTTTATTTATGAAACGATTTTGGTATCAAAAGAAAGCTTATAATGTTCGCTTTGGAAGCAATACCAATTTTTATCTTAACTCAAGGTAGTTTTCATTTAAATAATTGTTTTATCGAGGCATGTCGTAAAAATCACATTTCAGAAAACGAACCTATTGTCGGCCCTATGTTATTTAAGATAAAAAAAGGTACCTCTTGTCGGGACTGCAAAGTTTGTGAGATACTATAATGCAGGGCAATTCAATTTTGTTGACTAAAGTCTGTTTATAAAGTGAATATTAGAAATGGGACCCCTTGTCGTTATGGCAAAATAACATTGAGCGACAAGAGGTACCTCTTCTCAGACCGTGCAGAGGCTAACAAAATGATTTATTTTGACTTCTTACATCTTTAATTCAATAGTTTAACCGATACTGTCCTGTTCTATGTTAAATGAGGTACCTATAACAATTGAAAAAAATCCGAATTCCAATATTTTTGACCTTAGTTACTCATATCGGACGTACTAAAAATTTTGCATCAGCCGACAAGAGACCCTTTTTCGCTTTCCACATCACACATATATATATCAAACTAATATATTTCATATGATTATATATCACAGGTTCTCTGCAAATTGCACCCTATTTTATACTTCTACATAATACCTATTAAGCACCATACCATACCAACATATTTAAGCGTAGGTAGTATCTTTTTAGAATCAGAAAAATTTTGTCCTATAAAAAATCTGCCGTCATCATCTATAAACAACAGAGTTCCAGCCACTTATTCAAAAAGAGATGGTGGTTGCTGGAAACTAAAACTGGACTGTAAATCTGATGTAGGAATATGTCCCTATTGAACTTTTCCAAAAGTTCTTTCATTATGTGAGCAGCATGAGGTCGGGTATGTCATGCAAAATCATATGACACTACTGGTCAGCATACTACTGTTTAATATAGCTCTTCTTACGATGAAGAGAAATTTTGTCCCCTACGTTGTACATTACTTTTATTAGGTATCCCTGGTAGGCCTATATCGTAAATGAAGGTAAATGAGTGCCGTTTTATATATACCACCGTTTTAGGTTTGTATTCTAAATATTTGAAGCTATAAATCAGCAACACAAAACTACGATCATAGAACGATTATTATTGGTTAATATTACTCAATATGTGTTCAAAATTACTAGACCATTAACCTGAATAAAACAACGATGTCACAGAACTGCAGACTGAACTACAAAATGTAAGTGTTTCATCAGTAATAGCAATAGCAGCACAGAACGCTGCGATGTTGTCGAACGCAACTCGTTGATTGTAGCTGGTTTCTGTCTGTACACTTGATAGTCCCCCATAGGTGGAAATGTAGCGGTGTAATATCTGGTGACCAAGGCTACTCAGCAGCAGAGTCACTGTGACCTACCTACCGACCTGGTAACGTTTCGTCCAAGTACAACCTTACATCTCAATGCAGTGAGGTGTGGAACAATCTTGTTGAAAGTAAAACATGTCATTGCCAAATAACGTTTGCATGGCAGGCAAAATCCTTATCCGGAGCATATCAAGGTGTACGTGATCAGTGATGGTACCATCAAAGAAGAAGGGGCCAATCAAACCACGTGATGAGATGCCTCAACAAACATTAACCCCGGGTAGATTACAGCTTTTTCTACACGAACATTAGGATTGTCAGTGGCTCAGTAGACACAATTGTGATGGTTTACAGTCCCGTTAAGTTTAAATTGTGCCTCGTCAGACCATACAAATTTACCAGCATACCATAATTGCCGTGAACCATCCATTCTAACCACTAGCAGTACTCAAGTTTTCAATCCGGATCATCTTGGTTCATTGCATGTAACAGTTGTGGAACATAAACTTTCCACTTCCTGAAGAATTCGTCTTACACTTGAACGGCTCCCTCCACTCTCGCCCTTGTATGTAGATTTTTGCTGAGATTCTGTAAAAAGCCGCAAAACCACAGCACTGGTAGCTGTTTGTTGTCGGCCATCGTTCATCTTCCTTCATCTTACTTTGTTTACGTCATTCACCGTTCTATTTAATTCGAACTTATCACGAATACGGGCAGTTGTACGACATGTTGATGGAGGTGTTTTAAACTCATTATGCCATTGCCCTTGTACCGCCTGAATGTTTTCAAACTTAGAATACCACTTCAACAGAGCCTTGCATTCATTAGAGGACAATCGTGCTGCCGCCATTGCTCCTTCTCGACTGATTTGGCCTTGCCCACGACGATTCACGCATGCGCATAAGCGGCTGCCAATGTTGCCAACGCATGATATACATAAATATTCCATCACTCCATACACATAAGATTAATAAGAGTAACTTTTTGTTAAACTATTATTCCGTTACATACAGTGAGTACATTTGTACTACTCTGTATATACACATAGATATAACAATAAGGAACACAAAAGACTACAACAGTTTCAAGTTGGGGTTTTATCACAAAATCTCTGTAATACCAACATACTACCAAATATTTCTTTTAAGCAAATTTGCAACTTATTAAAAAAATTGAGGAATTAACTAGAATTAAATGACAAATGTAATTTTTCAGGTAGAAAAAGATGACAACCTGCCACAGCTCATTTGCTCTACTTGTTTCAACGTTACGCAACAACTGTTTGCTTTTAAAGAATTATGTCAACAAACCCAGATCAAACTAAGGAAATGCCATGAAGAGAAAAATACACAAAATGTAAGTACAGTTTAAATGTTTTGAACACTTTTCATTTGGACATAGAAACATAAATATAGAACATTTAGATATTAAACATAGATAGGCCTACCGGTATAGAAAAATAAAGAAATAGAAAGGGTATTTTGTTTATTATACAGGGTGTTCCGTAAATCTCTACCAATATTTCAGGGCATTGTACCTGAGTAAGAAATAAATCTTAGTTAATATTATACTTAAATTGTCCGGAAGTCCTTAGTTACACAGCTGTCATTTTGTTTTTTTCACTGATTTTTTTTAAGAGGTTACAGATACGAAATTGAAACTTTGCACAAACGTGTATGACCTATGGCAATTAGACAAAGCTACAAAAAACTTATGCCATTTTTTCAAATTCATATAACAAAATGGTGGCCATTTTAAACTTTTGTAAAACAACGGTTTTTGAGTTATTTAAGAAACAAAATTTTAAATAGCTGCCGTTTTGTTTGAAACATTTTCATAATTTTTTTAGCTTTGTCTAGTTGTTATAGGCCCTAAATGTTTGTGCAAAGTGTCAATTTTGTATCTTTCACTTTTTAGAACAAAATTAATAAGTGAAAAAACTAAATGGTGGCTGTGTGGGTAACTAAGGACTTGCAGACAATTTAGATATGATACAGTAGAGATCCCCAAACTCTGCGTAATGTGGACTGGAAGGGTGCCGAGTTTGTGAAATGCCGGGTTATCGGGAACTAGGGTTAATAATAAGAACAATACAATTTTAAAGCTTTTTAACCTCCTGTTTTATTTATATTTATATTACAAGTCAGTATTATGTCATCAGATATAGTACAACAAATCCTTGGTATGAGTTGCGAATGATTTGACTTGAGCTGGCTTGAGTCCATGTTTAACTCGGACTCAAAAAATCACAAATTTTCTGAGACGGTGATGGCCGAGTTATCCAGACTGCCGGGTTATCGAGTGCCGAGTTTGCGGGACTCTACTGTATTTAGATATGTTTCTTACTCAGGAACAATGCCTTATAGTATTGGTAGAGAGTTCTGGCCCATCCTGTATTTTAAAGTGTATCCAGTAAAAGTCTTTTCCCTAAACTAATATTTTTTAAAGCAACAGTTTATTTTAATTTTCATTTAATTCCATTATGGTTTGGTTTACTCAATCTTTAATAGAAACCCCGCAGACACACTGGCAGCACTGCCTATGTCTGCTGATTAAATAATAATAAATCCCTCTCAGACCCAAATTCATTTCTGAACTAAAAATAGTCCAAACCATCAACTCTAATAAGAAAATGAATTCCAAAACTGCATGGGTTAGTTCATAAATTATGGTCTCCACCAAACTCTTAAGCAAGCACGCTAGTTCAAATCTGACCAATGTCCTGCTCCTTACCTCATTTACTTATTCTAGCTGATTTACACCCCTAAGAAACGATTAGTCTGGTCGTACTATTAAAAAACAAGAATGAAAATTGACTCTCCGGCCAAGTATAGGCTAAATCACACTCTGTAACTATATTTCTGGGGTCTTAGTTGTCTACCAATTTGAAGTCCATCACTAGTTGATGGATGTGAATAAAGTAAAGTGGGATGTAGGAAATTTACCCAAGGGCTGGAGGGAGTTCGGAGGTGGACTTGATATTTAGACGATGATTTCAAAGGTGTGTAGGCTGACTGCATTTATCAGTCTCATTTGTTAAAAGCAAGGGCAATTTTGCATTTCCAGAAAATGGTTTTTGGGACTGAATACCTAAACTTTTTTTCTGAAAAATTTCTGTAAACTTTTGGTTTACATAATTTGCTTGTGTTACTTTTCCCTCCATAAACTTGTCACTACTCTGCAGAGTCCGGAAAATGAAGAAAATTCAAACAAAATCAAAGAGGAGCCGTCAGATGGCACAGGGGAGGACGGAGAGGATCCTTCAGAGGCCATGTCTACGGACAATGACGATTCAGGTGATTAACCAACTATTTGACTTAGTAAATAAAAGCAAGTAGGCCTAATGTACTTCGTCACCTTAACCCTTTCAGCAACAAAGTAAAATAAATATAAATGGTATAAAGTAAAAATATTCTACAAATTATTGAAGCATGGCTTAAAGATGTATATGACATGTTTTGCAACCTAGGACTCGTGTTCAGAATTATTACGTTAGGGTGTTTACCGTTATTATTATTTTGATAGATAGTTGGACCAAGCGGTATAAGATGTTGTCTTCCTGGACAGGAGACGGTGAGGGTTTTTCATTGAAGCATTTGAACAATGTAGCCTACTTCTTTTATTGATTTTCCAGAGCTCAATATTTACATAAATCTTCAGGAACACTTTTCTTTCGTGTTCTAATACTTGTAGAGCTCTTGAAATAGGAACAGTACTCAACTAATTTGTCTCCTTATGGTAATTTAGCTTGACTAATAGCAGTTCCATTACTAAACCATTGTCCGATTTATGAATAACAAGGGGAACTGGAGAGCCACTGGGGCGGAGCCCGAAAGATTTTTTGAGATAAGAATATGCCTATATGTTAATCGGGAATATGAGCTATCATCATGCCAAATTTCAGCCCAATTCGACCAGTATTTTCCGTGTTTACTTGTCACAAACATACATACATACATACATCCATACATCAAAACTTTCTCATTTATAATATTAGTAGGATATCAGTTCCATTAGAAAACCATTGTCAGATTTATGAAAAATAGCAATAACATCCAATTGCTACCGAGTAAAATCAAGAGATAACAGTCATATGATAGCCTAGTTTGTACTTGCTCTTGTACTTTTGTACTATTTTCACAACATTTAAATATAACCAAACAATATCCTGTGTATTTACACAACCTACTACTGCTTTAACAAGGTATAAGACTTTGTTTTTACTTTTTAGATCTTCACGAGAATGGAATTGAGGTTTTGCCCGAACTCGGAGAGCCGGCGCCTGAGGACTATGTCCTGATGAAGGAAGAGACATTCAGTATTGATGCCAACAAAGTTAACAGGTACCTTGCTGTGCCCTTATCAATATTTTGTCTAGTTGTGTTCTCCTTCGTGTTGAAATGTTAAGTTTTTTAATGCAAGACACTCCTTGTCCTTTGAATAACTTAAAAAAGCTAAAAAATAATTTTAAGAAATAATTGTTACCAAACGTTTATTTTTACAAACATAAATATTTCAGGAAAAAATAAAAGCATTTTGATGTACCTAATAAGCTTGTAACCACTATTGTCCTGTTTGTAGCATATAGAAATAATGACTTTTGTCTTGGTTGAAATTAGACCTTAGAGATTTAAGATTTATGAGGCTTTTAGTAGAATTCAGAATATAAAAATAATTTGTTAAAATAGCAGGCAGTTTTAAGTAATTGATAATAATGTGTGTGGTTAATTATTTTATATTTCTATCTACATTTGTTTATTTTAAGGCATATTTGTAACAAACATTGTTGATGATTTTTAGCAACAATCGAGGGAAGACTGGTGTCATTGGAGATCATCTGGTAGAGTTCAACAACAACAGTGACTTGAGGGACAGAGATGTGATGGAAATCCAACGTATCCGTCAAGAGCTGCTGCCTCCCATGTGGGATGTATATGAGAAATCTCCTCCGAATGAATCAGGTGAGCTTCAAGTGACGCATCGCAGGTACATTGTGAGTAAGGCTGCGTTCCCGTGTTCGCTTTGCGGCGCCTGTTTCAAATTCGACCAAGGCTGTGAAAGAGGGGAAGCTCCGGACAGTGGTCCTTACGATTGTGTCGTATGCCATAAAATATTTCCTAAACGGAGCGCTTGGAAGAAACACCAGGCTACCCATGAAGATATCAAACCGTTTCTTTGCAGGGATTGTGGCAAGGGTTTTAACAGGCAGGACCAGCTCTCTCGGCATCTGATAAGTCATTCCACCGTCCGCCCGTACAACTGCGAAGGCTGCGGGAAAGCGTACGCTCGTAAAGAGCACTTGAACCGCCATCATTTCAGCAGCCCGACTTGCTTGGATCCCAATGTAGATCCAGTTAGACCCTTCTCTTGCCCCTCGTGCGGTCAAGGTTTTGTGAGAAAAGAACACCTCGTCAGGCATTCCAAGCGTGCTCACGACATCGAATTGAGTGACAACGAACCTAAACCGTTCAGTTGTCAGATTTGTTCCAAGACATTTACCAGAAGGGAACATTTACGACGTCATAAATTAGTTCATGCAAAAGAAGAAAAGACTGTTAAAACCGAACCGGAGGATGACTCCTCCCCCCCTCCGAGTCCGGAGGAGAAAAAGGTCCAAAGTCCTGTCAAATGTGAGATTTGTCAGAAGTCTTTCTCGAGGAGGTCCCACGTATTAAGACACATGAAGCGAATCCACAACACCACGATCTCAGGAGAAGTCCATCGATGCAATGTTTGTAACAAACAATTTGGCAGGAAGTACCACCTGGAACGCCACATGCTGTGCCACGCCAAGCTGGAGTACGAGTGTGTTACTTGTGGTGAGAAGTTTGAGCAAAGCGAGTTGTTGGATAAGCACATGACAACCGTCCATGGCAATGCAGCCGTTGACAACTTCTTGTGGATTTAATCCTAAAAGCTATAAATTAAGTTGTCTTTTAATCTGGTGTTCATGGATAGCATTTTATCTTCACTGCATGTTAAGTGTGCTGTCAAATGTTAAATGTAATGTCAAGTCAATACAGTTTTTTTGTAAGTTTTTAAATCATGTTAAAGGGAATCCATCCAATGTTCTATGAAAGAATATTCGTACGTGATATAATTCATTTTCCTCAAGAAGAACATTACTCTCCAGATTTTAGTAAACCATTGTTGGTTTTCATGTCAGAAATTGCTGATAAATTATTCATCTGTGTACTTCCTAAATGTATTTTTTTACATTTACACCCTGGAAGAGAGCAGTATACAGTATGTTCCTATGTGGGAATGATGTTGAAGAGCATTTTCAATAAAATAATACACCCTTCTAATTGGCCAATGCAAAGACTAGTTGGATGAGGATTTACAACCACAGAAAACGTACTACTATAACCCAGAATGCCAACCGCATGGTAAAAAGCATTAAGCGTTTTGAGAGAGCTTTGCCTGTCAATCCGTAGGCAGCGCCACCAGCGTTGCTATGCTATTGCATGGTAACACTGGTGGCGCTGCCTACGGATTGACAGGCAAAGCTCTCTCAAAACGCTTAATGCTTTTTACTATGCGGTTGGCATTCTGGGTTATAGTAGTACATTTTCTGTGTTTACAACACACATACTAACTGTAGGCTACATGAAATTTCCGTCCAGTAGCCTATAGTACTTTAAATACATCACATTCACTAAAGTGGTGAATGTGTTACCAGAACGAAGTGATTTTAATTGGGTTAATTATTTGTGGTTAGGAAAAATAAACTCTTATTGTATACAAAGATGGAACATTGTTTGGTTTCCAATAGAAAATGTAAGATGAAAATTTAAAATTAATCTCAAAGAAACGTGCAAAGTACCAGCTCACTACTGCCTAGGTGTTTGTAATGGAGGGAGCTAAGTAATTTTTTTTTAAGAAGGCTGTATGGTACGAATACTGTTACAGTTCTTAAAAAACTTATATAAATGTTCTGTACCCATCATTTGACAGCTGTACCCTTTCTTCAATTGCAGTTTGAGTTTATGATAGTTCTCTTTATGAAATCAAGAGCATTTTTAAAGTGTAACGATTACGAGTGCCTTCTCACAAAATGCCATCAATCTATCTTTAAGTCGAAACAACAGTATCAGTTCAACTGAAAGTATTTAGATATGTAAATTTTATAACTAGCCAAGCTACAAATATAGACAAGCATTTTGATTTATTAGGATAAAGTTTAACAATTTATTTAGAAATGTATCAAGTTTTAAAATTTTTTATTTTTATTGTAGATTTGTTTGCCCTACCGTACTGTAAGTCACAAAGTGCTATTAAATGTTTTAGGACCAAAGTAACTAATTTGATTATAAATATTTTATCTGTGTGATCTAATCTAATTACCTCTAAATGTATACTTGGGAAATATTGTAACAACCCATCATTTCAATCTAGCCTTTTAGTGTGTTTCATAGATTTAAGCCTTTTTGTCTGGTATATAAAGATATTTTTTGGATACAACAGCTCAAAGATTATCAGTGGTTTTAAAATGGAAACGTATACCTTACTTCTAGTTTTGATATAAAAAATTGGCATTCCAACAATCTAATTTGGTATAACAAACTGTACATCTTCTCAACGTAGATATTTATAGCATGTAACTTAATCATTCCTGGGCAGACTTCAATTTCACCCATGTTCTTCTTTCTCATTTTTTTTTAAATACCTGCTCAGCCATTAAGCCTGATTATGTTAAGTTTGTCTCAACTTTTGTCCTACAAAGATTCAAAGAGCTCAACATTTTGAGTATTTATTTTTCTTAACTGCCCATTTTCAAGAATCTCAGGCTTAAGAGTCTTTTAAAGTTGTTTACTGGGATTTATAAATTTTCCTCTTCAAAATCACAGATTTTTTAAATAAATAAATTTACAATATTTGGGGTTTTAATGGATGTTGTTGATAGTTTGTTTTTATCTGACAATTATTTAACCATGTATTTATTGCACTTAAACAACTAATTAGTCCTGCTAAGGTAAATTATTCAGCATTTAAGTCTCTTGCAGACAGGCATGTATGGAGTTTTGTCAAACTTTAACTTTAATTATATAATTTATTTGACCAATGATGCATTTTAGGTCTAAGTTTTTAAAACATTTATCAAATTCCAGTTACCAATAAGCTTAGTCCAAATATTTTTTACTACAATTTATGTTGGATAATAAATCATACATGTTATGTGTGCATTTTCCACAATTGTGCATTTGCAATGGTGCTTACAAACACTGACAGAGAACATTTATGTTACCTTTCCTTTATGTAATAAATCCCGTTTGGAAAGAAGAATAAAATGAAATTTGTATATTTAGTAAACAAATGTATGTTATAGACATATAATCAATCAATTTGTGATGATGTACTAGTTAATAGTACTACAGTAGAACCTCTTTAATCCGAACTAATTGGGACCAGGGGTAGTTCGGATTACAGAACATATTGTTGTTTTTACATAACAATAGCTAAAACATGGCTAAAATTGATCAAAATTATTTTGGGAAAAGCGAAAAAATGTTTTATAAAGTAAAATACAGTGTTAATTATTAATACAGTAGTAAACATGGTGAATAAAAAGTACTGTAAATTAAATACAGTATACAATAAAGAACTGCTGTACTGTGTATTAGAGTACAGCAATGAGGGGTTCGGATTAGTGGATGTTCGGATTACGGGGGTTAGGATTAAATAGGTTCTACTGTAATTTGAATTGTATGTCACGAATGCCAGTCAGTCTCTTTACCAGAGTTTTGTATGTTTGATGTTATTTGAATGTGTGTGTGTTATATTAACTTTTTTCTTGAAGTCACCACTAATGTTAATAGTTCACAGATTTGTTGCACACATTTTAAATTATTTTATTTGAACATTATTTTTACATTGTTTACTATGAAAGTATAGTTTTGTTATTGTATCTAATTTGCATTGATCTCTTTTTTACCATACCAATAAAATATAGAAAGCATTTTTTGGTTGAGGTTATGGTAAGTTTTATAAGCATAAGTTTTCTAGTTTTTAAACGTTTCCGTTTCTGTTTTTATGGGTAGAAAATTGTTTGCACTAAAGCACTTAAACAGACTTTTCTGCCTGGTTGTTCTTTCAAGTACTTAAGAAGATATACATGTGTATTTGTGCCTTGATATAATGTGTGTTTATATAAACGTGTTTTATACATTCCAAATATTTACATTTATTTGGGACCAAAAAGTAAAAAAAACGTGTTACCTATTTTCTAGTGTACTGCTGAACCAAAAAATCTATGTGAAAGGTTTTCTAACTATCCCTGAGTGAATTTCAAGCTAATCTATTGGTGCCTATTGTTTTTAAGTAGCCTATGTTTTAAAAAGAAAGAAAGTCAATTTGATGACGATTTTAGTACTGAATTGCAACAAAAATGTCTATTAAAAATAAATGCAATTATCTTTCTGTGGAACATCAAACTGATTCCTCAAAAACCTTTTACATAGACAAGAGTTTTTTAATATTATTTTGTTCTGTATTATAGAGGTATTCCCATTTTATTTTTAATTCTGTTACTATGAACTGCAATACTAAGTTATATTTAAAAGACTTATTTAGTTATTTGTTATTATGTGGTTTAAGGCTTATAAAATAGTTTATTTTGTTGTTTATTTCAAAGTTTATATAGTTTTGTTAATATGTGTCTAGTGGACACGTTGCTGTGTGTATGCTAAAGTGTTGGTATTGTTTTTACCAAAAACACTGTGCAATATTATGTTAGTGATTATAAATTATAATTTTAAAGACTCTAAAGGCACCAAATAATTTTAAGAGAGGAGGTTTGAGGGTCCTATGTTTTCATTTTTCTATGCATGTGATACATATTACATATGTTGGCAATGTTGAGTGTTTGAAATGTTTACAGAGATGGTGTATTGATGTTAACTGGGATTAAATAGTGTTTGTTGAAAACTGAGTTATTTATCAACTAACCTCTTCCCAGTCATTTAGTTGGCACCTATCTTTAGAGGAAAGTCGCTTATTTTAAGATATTGATTCAAGGAAAAAATATTCCCAGGAAACCTGCAGACTAGGTGAATTTCCATTTGCCTGATTTTCAATTAAATCCTACTAATATTATAAATGAGAAAGTTTGGATGTATGGATGTATGTTTGTGACAAGTGAACGCGAAAAATACTGGTCGGATTGGGCTGAAATTTGGCATGATGATAGCTCACATTCCCGATTAACATATATAGGCATATTCTTATTTCAAAAATCCTTTCGGGCTCCGCCCCAGTTGCTCTGGAGTTTCCCATGTTAACCTTATGAGAAATGGAATTATTGAATCTTAACAGCTGTTTCAATTAAACAAGTTGGTTCTGTTCTATGATGTTCAAGAGCATTAAAGTTACAAGGATTACCAACAGGGTGCAGCACTATTATTTCTTTTAAATTTATGACAACATCTAATTTGCAACGAAAAGGTGAGTGAGCGTAGCGAACGAACTTCAACCTGGAGGCGAGTTAGCGTAGCGAACGAGCTAACCTGAAGGCAAGTGAGCGCAGCGAACGAGCTCCAACCTAAAGGTGAGTGAGCGTAGCGAACGAGCTCCAACCTAAAGGTGAGTGAGCGTAGCGAACGAGCTCCAACCTAAAGGTGAGTGAGCGTAGCGAACAAACTTCAACCAGGACGTGATTGAGCCATGCGAACGAGATAATCTTGAAAATTAAGAAGTTAAACGGGGCAAAGCCCGCGGGTTACAGCTAGTCCTTATATAATACGTGAAGGCGATTTCTACTCCTCCGTTAGTAATGGGCAGATTTTTACAAACTATGTGTCAAAAAGTTTTTGTTTTTTTTTGTAGACGCCCCCTTTCACCAATTCCTGTAATAAAAGTCCTCGGGCTTTGCCCCACTGGCCATCGAAATCCCCATGTATGCCTTAAGAAGAAAATTTACTAACCCAGCTGTTAAATAAATCTTACTTCAGTAGTGGAATTTTTCAAGTGTCAAGAAATTAATAGTGTGAAATCGCATTTGTTTTAACTTGATTATATTGAAGTTAAATTGTTTCTTATGTTGGTAAAATAAAACACCAAAGATCAAACTAAAACTGGTAACAGGGTATTCACCAAAAATATAGTATACAGACAGTTGATTATGATCAAGACTGCTTTCTTTACAGTTGCTACTTTTCATTCTTAACCCGAATTCAATAGCTCGATTTTGAGCTTCGGGAGTACTAGTATATTTTAATAACATTAGGTTTAATGAGTACCTATATTTGCTGCTATAGGGAGGGTAATAAATTGTGATTTTAGTAAAATATCAATAGTTTATTATAAAATAAATAAATTTGCCAAGTTTAATCAAAATATATCTATAAACAAGCAAACTACAACACTATTAACTAATTTTGCAAAAGAATAACATACAAATTTTAAATTTACAATTTATTTAATTTTCTCCTTTACAATTTATTTAATTTTTTCCGTAACCAATAACCGTATGAAAACACTTAAATATATTAAATGAATAAATCATTTGTTTTTAAAGCTCTTCAAAATAGTTTAGGGAGAAATTGGGAAATTTTATGTTTTGAGGGTCAAAAAATTTGAGAATCCAATTTTTACACCATAAAATCCTGTGCCCATGGTCCGATCACGCTGGTTAGCAAAGTCGTTTGAATAAACTTAGGTTTTTAACTTTAGGTCATCAAAACAGGATCATTTTTGCTTGAGTTATCGTATCGTGCTAACAAACACATGTATGAATGGTATACTGTATGAAATGATGTTGTCTTTTGCCTCTGGGGCAGCGAGCTCATAATACAAATTTTGTTATGTGTTCGCTGCTCTGAGGACATCAAAACGAAAAAGTAAATCGGTCCAGGGCATTACCATAAAACCTACGGTGGTAATAGCTTATTCCCTATATGAGAAATTTGTTTATAAAGTGCTATACTATACACTAATAAAAATAGTATCACTGTTAATTGTAAAATCATCATCGTTTAAACTGTCAAGCTTAAACCCCACTCTTCATAAAGAAGAATTCACTTTAAAAACTCTTACAGGGCTGTTGAGTAGAGATGTCCTCAGAGGGCAAAAACATCATCTTCTATTCATATACAGTAGATATGTCTGCTCTTATTTGAACACAATCGCAAACCAGCCAGACTATTAAAACGGGGTTTTATGGTATTTATGGGTAAAAATTGGGTTTTCTCATCTTTACCATCAAACATTTAGAGGCGGTTTGGGAGATCGGTATTAGCGCTAGTCCGCGACTAAAACTAGACATTTCCGGTATTTTAAGCTGCCGCCTCGAAAACGGGTTTGTGAGCTCGGGATCAGTTAGGCGCGCGCCTAATTTGTGCAGGGATAATCTCGCGCATAAATATTTTTTGGTCTGCGGGAGTCAAGTAGACTTAGGCGCCAGACTAAGAGATAGTCTCGGTGGGTTTGGGAGACCAATTTCAGACTTAGAGATATATTTTCGTCATAAAAATTTTGCGCCCCTAACTTGTGCAGGGATAATCTCGCGCATAAATATTTTTGGTTTGGGAGTCAAGTAGACTTAGGCGCCAGCCTAAGAGATAGTCTCGGTGGGTTTGGGAGACCAATTTCAGGACTTGGAGATATATTTTCGTCATTAAAATTAGTGAGTGTAGTCCCCAACTTTAGTCCTGCCAGGGGGCAGGTCTAAGACGACATCATGCCGGTATTACCTCATTAGCAAGTTAATTGTTTACATATCAACTAAAAGGATGTTATATTAAAATTCATTATTAAATTCCGAACAATTTCATTACCCTCAAGGTAAATTTGATAAAAGTTTTTTTAAGGCTTCTGTTGTTAAAAATAAAACAGAAATCTTGCAGGAAGCTAAATTTAACAAAAGATTATTAGGTTTTTGTTTTTACTGTTAGCTGCAATAAAAATATGGACCCTAAATAGAATTTCTTTAAACTGAAAGTTTGGTTATAAGCACCCGTACCTTAATAACAGGGCCGGATTTCCCAATAGGCCCGGGTCTATGGGCGCAAGCTCCCAGAGGGCGCACGGCCGAGAGGAAATTTTTTTATATCTAAAAATTAAATAAATAGCCATAGCTTAATATATTTTGCGAGTTGATAAAAAAGAACTCTTGCCAATAAAGCATTATAATTTTGAAATTCTTTGGAAGAAATAACTGTTAGAAAATGTAAACTAGTTTTCAACATTTCGCATCAATTTCGTTACAACATTGGTAACAAACATTGGTTATACTCCCGGGAGTAGGCTGTAGGGATGTTGTCGAGCGCCCGAGCGGTACGCATCGTATTGCCACTGTTAATCTTTGCACTGCCACTATGCGGGCTCGGCGCTACGGATCGGAGTGATTAGGGGTGCATGCGTGTTAAGACACCATTACCACCCTCACCTCACAAAAAAGAAAATTTATTAACCTATCTTTTGATCAATTTACCTGCAGGATCAAGTGATAATATAAATAATACGTTTTGTTGAATATTAAAAATACGATAAGTTTATCTTTAAAATTCAATAACGAAAACATATTTATCTGAGTTTGCAACAGGTTTTAGAAAAAATAAATCCCCTCCAAAGCACCATTAATGGTGTCATTTTCTCCTCAGCTTAGACCTGAGGATAATTATGGTCGGCGGACTATTACTTTGTTTGTTTGCCTTTGTTTGTCTTTGCAAATATAATCTGGATGCAGTACTACCATAGATCAAGGCCCCACTGTTTTTCTAGTGGTGCCTTGCATAGATTAACCATAAACTCATGTCGACTTTTTATCACATTTTTAATTCTAAATATTGTTTTTCATGTCTAGTTCATATATGTTGGTGACACTGGAAGTTACTTTTGACGTAATTTTGTTTCTATTATTTTAGGGATAGTCCTATGTTGTGTGTTATAATTTCTTGTAATATAACCAGGGGACGACCTATTGTTTATGATTACATCGTTTTGTTTTGGACAAACTAGGTTTAAATAAATTAAATAAAAATAATTGTTTTCAGCTTATCCCTAAATATGACAAATCTACTAATGGAGTACCGGTATGTTTAACCACGGTATCAAGTACTGTTATGGAGTTCATGTTTTGGGGCCTGAAATCAGAATCAATGGATATGTATTTTTGCAGGAATGCTCTGTGGGTTGGATTATTTTGTTTCAGTCCCACAAGCGTGAGCATTTGACGGCATTTTGTTAAGGCTAACCAAGACATTTCTTTAAAAAAAAACTTGCAATGATAAAATTCTGACGAGGAGTGGTGTTCAAGCAATTAACATAGGCCTATAGACATGATATAGTTTTTAATAAAAGGTTTGTAGGAAAGAAACTGTGACCAGACTAGGGGGCGGAAAAATTATTTGGGCCTAGGGGTGCCAAAATGCTAGATCCGGCCCTGCATAAATATTTTATTAGCTAGGAAAAAAATTAGCAACCGCATACAACTCACCCCATACGAAAGAGTGAAGAGAAAGTAAACAAAAAATTAAAAAACTGCAAATAGCTCACAGTCATAATCAAATCGTTTTCTTTCAATTGTGTTGTGATTGAGCTCAGTTCAGTGTCAATGACCAGGTGCTAGTTACATCAAAATGGAGTACCTAGATTATTTGGAGTATAAGAAAATATACAGTACATCAATAACCCGCCACAGAAAACCTGCAGACTAAGCGAATATCCAATAACCTAATAGGACTTTCAATTAAATTTATTTAAATAGCTTTAGGCTTAACAAGTACCTAAAACTACTTACATGTAGGTATGCTACAGGGAGGGTAATAAAGTGTGTTTTTTTTACCAAAATAATAACGGCTTTATATCAAATAAATAAATTTGCCAAGTTTCATCAAAATATATCCATAAACGACCACACTACATTTAACAGTTAACTTATTCTCCATAAGAATCACATGGGAATTTTAAATTTACAATTTTCTGAACAGTCTCTGTAGCCAATAACCGTACAAAACATTTCAAGATACTAATTTGTGTTTAATGCTCTTTAAAATATTTTAAAGATAAATATTTATGTTATAGGGGTTGAAATTGAGAAAAAAACTATTTATATCCCAATAAACCCCGGGTTCCCATGGTCTGATCATGCTGGTTCGCGAAGTCATTAAGGTGTATTGCGCCTTACACTTTCATGCCAAATTTTATCAAAATCAGAAAAAAATTACTCAAATTATCACGTTTATGTACGTATACATAATATATTATATATAGGCTATACATATATAAAAATTTTAACGAATAGTGTTTTTGGCCTCTAGGGACATCAAAATGGAAAAGTATATTGGTCCCAGAACTAAGCGTTACCTACAGTAATAGATACTTCCCTCTGAAAAATAGATAAAAAGAGTGTCATGTTAAAAATTCTTTTAATTGACAACAATTTTTTTTTTAAGTATTAAAAGATATACTGTATTTTACATTTACCTTGGCTTCACACAATCATAACCTCTGCACATACTTAAAATACTTTTTATTTTTTTATTTTCGTCAATACCTCTATATTATAGTGGGAAATTACTGTTTAATTTTGAAGCTTTTTATTGCATGAAACCGAGTTTCAGATGTTACCGTTCCACATACAGGGTAATTTTTGTTACCTAATGATTTTAACCTCTGAAAGAAATCATATTGATTTTCAGAATCCTATTCCTATTTTTTGCTCCGGGGACTAAAGTTAGGCGCGTCTAACACTAGGCGCTTACTAGCTGGGCTCGAGCTCCCAAACCGCCTCTTATAGTTTTGCAATTATAGAATCACATATGAAGAATTAAGAACACTGTGCGATTACCCCTTCTACCAACTATTCAATAAAAAAAGAAAAAAATATTGGCTTCCATTTAGATAATTTTAAGTCTTTTTTTTATTACTTATCACATGACTTCAGTTAGGATCTAATACTAATTAGGCTGGTTACGGTTCTAAATAATTACTCTGTTATGTTATCTACAATATTATTTATTTTACAATTTTTTCAATTAGTATATTATTTTACATGTGATTTTATTTACAAGGAACAAATGTCGTTCTCGTTCTACGCTGCCATCTGGCTGTCAGTAGGAAGTTTTTCCCTTTGTTACGTACGACAACTCAGTAATACTTTTTATGTGAACTTTGTGTGTTTTATGTGAACTTTTTATGTAGTAGTACTTTTTGTTCAAAAGAAGTTTGTTAATTTTTAAGGGTTTGATACGAGTATTAGTTTGAGGTATCTGACTGTTAGTATTTGATAGTATAGGAAACAATGAACTAGGATCTGGCAGTGATGAAGTTCGTATCTGACTGTTAGTTGATGGTCTGGGAAACATAGTAGTACTGGAACCTGGTAGGGATGTAGTTACAGTTGGTATTGATTTAGTCTATGGTTTCAGTTTAGAGTTTTGTTGGTATTGTTCTGTATATGAATAAAATTGCCACAACATCGATAATGGTATAAAAATTATTTATTATATTACATGTATCATACAAATACTGGAGAAAAATTGCTTTTTAATTCATGCTTTTAAGACAAGTCAATTGTTTCTTAGTTAACGGTGTGGTATTTAAGTTTTTCATTATGTCTGCAGGCTAAGTTTTATTTACAAAACTGTCACAGTAACAGATTCCGCATTCATAATTATCATGCGAGGACTGAAAATTACAAAACAATTGTTTCACCTTCAGATCATACAGATATTTAATCCCCAATATTTATATCATGAGGCAGCAATGCTATTACGAACAAGGTTCAATCTCCAGCAAACAAATTATTAACAGCTTTCAAAACAAATGCCCCATCATCACTCCTAGGTCCGAGAGACAGTTGCACTCTAGGCATATCATCCAGTGGCAGCGCTTTAGAAAGCAAACAAGTTTCACTGTTGAAAGTCCATACACAGTTAAACATAGTTAGAATGACTGGGGGAATTTTGTCTTCAGGTAGTGCTAAGCCGACTAAAAGGTAAGTAGTTAGATTGTAGTAAGTAGCGCAACTTTCGGCTACAAAACACAAAGTGGCACATATTTGAGCCAGCTGATGATCTCTTTCTCTGATGTCTTCAGATAAATACTCTTCTAATTCTTCAACAAGGATCACTCTAGGTGCTGTGTCCCGGAAGGTCAAAACATCTAAAATGCACTTCAGGGCTTCTTCCATACTCTCCAAGTACCTGAAAAATCATACATTATTCTAGGGCAATTCAGAAATTAATCATTTTGGAAGCAGATAAAAGGTTTCTACAGAAAAAATGTTTACTATGCTTTTTAAAGAGCAACTAAAAGTCTTCAAACACATTGAGGCACATATTCAGTGGTGGACGAGCTTTAAAATTCCTCTGGAGTCCACCACCAACAATTTTGGCCACTCGGTGACATCTTGTCATTTAAGCGCTGTGCTACTTTAGTCACTTGGAGCAAGTTTTTCCACTTAAATGAATAAAGGAGAACTTGTGAGCAATTTACCACGTGAGGTCAGACATTGTCATGCAAAAACAAAATGTTGGACATCAACTTTAGTTTGACCATTTTTAACCTATATTCTATAGAAACTTAGAAATGTAATTAATTACGTTGTTTCCATACACTCAACTCACTTGCCATTAATTTCTGAAGGTTTTAGCCCACAAAAACCATGTTACGGACGTCACTTCACAACTGGCAGGATTTTCAATAGCAAAACACTTATACAATTTCAAAAGTGCAACAACGGGCAGTGCAATTCCAGTGTGACAACTAGACTGTCACTGAGGAGGCGAACTCGTCTGTACTTGATAAGGCGCTGCTATCAGACCTTATTTTTACTTTTTGAATAGCCCTTGTATTGTAGCCTACTGATCTAGTAATCACTTAAATTCCAAAGACAGCTACCAAAAATAATTACGGTTGCTTACTGCACCATATTCAAGGAGAAAAGAATATCACCAAAGGCCGCTTAAGTTTTCAGTTACCGAATTTAATTTATTTTATGTTTCTCTAGGCATTTACTATTGTAGTAAAGGCCAACAATAATTTTCTTAGGTAGGCCTATGTTAATAAAGTGGCTGTTGAATCTAAAATTGCTTCGGTGTCGGTGAGTATCCATGTATAAAGCCCAAAGTACCCTGAACTTTTAAGAAAACTACAAGTCACACCCCCATAAACCATATATACTTAAAATGTTCGTCATGAAGTCAAACGGGGTGAAGCCCGTGGGTAACAGCTAGTCTAGTTTAATCATTATTATCCTTTATATTTCCACACACTGGTCCAACTATGATTTATTTTCAAACACAATAATATGTATTTTAGGCTTCAAACTGTTTCATCACAAAATTCTCACGTGAAATAAGTTAATTAAAATGAACCAAAAACAATATATTTTTATATTAACAAAACAATATACATTTTTGTTTAGCGAGTAAATAGGTTACTTATAAAAAACCACTAAAAATACAATACAGTATATACATACATGATTCTTATTTTTGAGAGAACTTCTGATGAAGGTATCTGTGGTCCATGTCCTGTAGAAGGGATGGTTTCAAATTTGGATTTCTTAAGGAATAATACTTTAAAACCTTCCTCAGCCCAATGTACAGCACTCTAAAACATGCTTGATGTGATTATGAGGAACATAAAAATAATAAAATAACTGGTACATTAATTTAATAACATTTTATAAATCGTTTTTTACTTTAATCATTTGCAATATGTGACTGAGCATTAATTTTAGATGTATGAAATGTTGGTCCTAAGGCCCATTTATTAAACAATTACTTAGCATGTTCTTATTAACATGTAACTTAAATTAACTGTCTTGATAGCTGACTATGAATTTAAGATGCTATCTAACAAGAAGGCCGACGTTAGATAGAAAGTTAACGAGAACAAGACCAGAGTTTAGACTGTTTCCTTTTAAAAATATCCTTTTAAAATGCTATCGGCGTAGAAAACACATATAATACCAGTTGTTCCCTTTATTGTGAAAATTAGGTTGTAACCATTTTATTTCATAATCTCCAGAGATAGTACGCTAACCATATTTAGGGACAGGATTGGGATGGTATTTTCTCCGATTTTGCCCAACATAAGCTATCTTTTAGGACAGTTTGTGTATACAAAGTTAGGTATTTATTCCGTATAGGTGCCTCCAAACGAATTGTTAATTTTGATATCTTACTTAATAGTTTTTTACCTCCTGAATCCAAATATACCATTATTTTTCACCGCTGATAAATATTTCTCAAGATATCGCCGTAAAAACATGCTTAACATTACAATAAACAAGATAGGATGGATAACATTTCAAGTGATTCTGTAGTCAAATAACTTAATGTTCTCTATAATAGGAATTTCGTCACATTATGGAGATATAGATGGACTGGTGGACTAATTACTTGTAGTTCTTATTTAGGCATGTCAGGGTGGTAGGTCGTGCTGTATGTGAATTGGTAACTGCATTAAGTGTTTTGAAGTTAGGTTAGATTAGGAAGGTAAAGTTTAGGTTATAATGTATCGAGTTGTTAGTTTATGTTGCCTGCAGACTGTTTTTGTAAAATTAAAATCCAGAAAAAACACTTCAAATTACTATTTCAAAAATGCAAGCATTTTTGAAAAAGTAATTTGAAGTGTTTTTTTCAGGATTTTAATTTTACAAAAATAGTCTGCAGGTAGCATAAACTAACAACTTGATACATTATAACCTAAACTTTAACTTACCTAATCTAACCTACCTTCAAAGGACTTAATGCAGTCACCAATTCACATAAAGCACGACCTATCACCCTGACATACCTTTTCTGACATCAAAAGGAGTTTGCTTACACATTCTAGAGGTTTGGTTAGGTTAGGTTAGGTTAGGTTAGGCCTATGTTAGGTTATGTTAGAATAGCACCATTTTAGTATGTAATTTCTAAACGGCGAAATATAAATCAATAAATCATTAATAAGGATAAAATACCCATAGTACATTCCACTTTTAAATGGCATCCATCCTACCTTGTTTATTGTAATGTTGTATATTATTACGGCGATATCTTGAGAAATATTCATCAGCTGTGAAAAATAATGGTATATTTGGATTCAGGAGGTAAAAAACTATAAAGTAAGATATCAAAATTAAAAATTCGTTTGGAGGCACCTATACGGAATAATTACGCAAAGTTGATAATAGTAGCCTATATTCTTGGGAAATATTACTAGCAACACAAACTTTCTTAAATAGGCTTAGGCCTATGTTGTAAGATAGTAGTAAAATCTGTGCGGAACTGTACTCCAATTGTGAGACAAAAATATGAAGTCATTAAGAATCTACCTACCTACCCCATCCAGTAATCTAAAGAAAGGTCATGGCTCAACCAAACAAGATGGTGACAATGATCTGAACAAATCTCAAGTTAGGTATAGGATACCTGTAAGCCTAAAAATAGATAAGAACCAAACAAATTATGGAACTTATTGTAAAAGAAAATTAATTTCTGTCTGGGTAAGTTAACCAAGTACCAAGGTAACCTATGGTAATTTACCTGGAATAATAAATCCCGCCTTATTAGTTTCGGCAATCCAGTCATAACAATTTTCTTTGACCCCATTCTAATTGGGAAATTAAATTTGTTCAATTGTAAAAAACTTTTAAACTAAAATTGCTTACTTTTATTTGATTAATAAAATAAAACTGATACTGACAAAAAGAGAAGCAGACTACAGAGACAGAGTGACAGACAGGAGACAGACGACAAAGCGACAAAGCTGACAGCGCAGTGAGCACTAGCGGCGGGTTTTCTTACCAATAAGGTAGACTGTTTTTTTGCTTCATGGAGCTGCGTAGACCCTACTGAATGTAGATACACTTGTATTCAGTAGGGTCTGTATATAAAAGTGAATATAATTTATTTTGTTTGATTTAAATTAAAATACCATACATTTATGAATCGTTATAGTAAGCAATATCTTTAGTTAACATTAGCAAATATTGTACATGTTTACTACTACACCAGTTACAGTACTACCATGGTGGATGGAAAATACGTTACTACCTAACGATAAAGGAGTTAATATAAGCGGCAAAAGCAGTATATAGTTGTTTTATACGAAGCTTCTATAACTGCCCAGACAAATGTTTTGTCTATTTATGTTTTACCGGTATCTAGTTTTATTTTCTTGGTTGAACTTGAACCTCATTTGTTGTTGACTTTGTCATATGCATGTACCTTGCAAATTTCGGCAATAAAAAGTTTATGATTTCTGATTTATACAACGTATGTCTTATTCCATCAAAATGTTCACATTTTCTGTTGGTTACTAATTTTTTAACGTTCAATTATAAGCAGGTTTTGTATTTTTTTATATAAATAAAAGTAGGCTTGGATACCCAAAAATACCGGTAATGAACTTTCATTCATTGAATTGAATCCTGTCAGTTGCATCTGCATTCTAAAATGTCATCAAATACATTGAAAATATGAATTCCACTTTTCCAAAAATGGCAGCTAAATATTTCTTATCAAATCCCCAGTATTTTTGGATATTTTTAGAATTTATATGAAATTTTAAGACTGATTTATTCTTGCATTTCCTCTTCAAACTTACTTGTTTAGGAGCTACTACATCATGCAGAATGTACAGAGAATAGTACTTTTTCTTAAATGTAACACACTGTAGCTCCTAAACGATAGAGTATTTTCAGAGAAAATTCTAAGGAAAGAAGTTTTTTAATTAATATATTATTTACATTCTACCAAATCATATAATACCCCCGCCGCAGCAAACCTGCAGACTAAGCAAATTTCCATCTACCTGAGTGGAATTCCACTAAATTATTCCCTTAAAATTGTCTGATTTATTTCCTATTTAAATATAATTAATTTTAATTAGTAGCCTACTTAGGTTTGCTGCTACAGGGAAGAAAATAGCAGTTTTATTAAAATATCAATACCTTAGTATGAAGTAAAAAAAATAATTAAAATATGTCCATAGACAAGCAAGCTACAACAGTTTATTTATTCTCCATAAGAATAACATGGTAATTTTAAATTTACACTTGTTTGGTAATTTTTCCGTAATCGTTAGGCGTATGGTAACGCTTCGCTATACTATTTTTTTTTTTTAGCTCTACAAAATGGTTTAGAAAGAAATTGCGAAATTTTATGTTTTCAGGATGAAAAATGAGAAAACCCCATTTTTATCCCATAAAACCCACTCATAAACCCGTGTTCCCATAGTCCGATCACGCTGATTCGCGAACTCGTTTGAATAAATGTAGGTTTACACGTTTATACCTTAATTTAATCCAAATCGGATCAGACCTACGGTAATAGCTTATTCCCTATATGGGAAATTCGCTAAAAACAGGGTTTCCGATGTTTTCGTAAGAAAATTTAATGCTAGCCGCCATATTGGAAAATGGTGGAAATTTTTTAAAAAGTCGAGTTTATATTTTTAAGAAAATATAGATGCCACGCAAGCTGGTGAAATGCCTAGGGTGACACAAACATCTTACCTACTCAAGAACTACAGTATACAGAAACAAAGGTACAGTATGTTGCTATCCTGGTTGTTACAATTTATTTCTTTTGCACACTGCATATCATGCTCAGTCGTGTTGCCTTCTCATTGTTTTTTCTTACAATAGTTTAAAACTTGTTATTCTTGCTTTTGTTCGTATTTATCTTATGTTGCTTTATGCTTTGTCTTTTTACTGTTACGTAACCTAGTTCTTGTTTTAAGCCATTTAAACAATCTGTATTCATAGATAACAGTAATAATCGTCCTGTAATCCAGCTACTAGGAGGTAAAACGAATTGTGGATATTTATAGAGATGAACTGTGGATGTGATACTTCCTGGTGTGGATTAACGTCCGCATTAGTGAGTACTACAGCAACTATCCGCAGTACTATCCTGATAATTAGACCAATTCGTTGATACCAAGGCAAGAATGTGGTTCGGATTCCACTGTAAACTGTAGGTCCCTTAGTTGCCATTAGCTATTTGGGCTATTTATTAACAGCTGTATCTTAAAGGAATATGTCGGCCTTAATATCATAACAGTGTACCGGTCCGTACAACCACAACGCTAGTCACTTTTGTTTAGGCCGGCCAAAAATATTAATTTTCAATGTTACGTATAAATATAAATGTTTTGTGTGTTTTGGGCTCGTATGTATAGCCTACATATGAACTTCGACAATGGCCAATGTTATCAACAGTAGTTTAACAAGACAGAAGATTTGACAATGGGGCTGTTTGCCCCGAAACTATAGTCATCGTAAAAGACGACTTGGATTGAAGATAAGGTATTTAACTTATTATTATTAGTACTCTTTCCAGGAGGCAAAGCATGGATAAACTATAGTTCGTGCAGAACACCACGGGATTTTTATGGGCAGTGCGGGATAATGAGGGATTTCTATCCGGGTGAGGGATTTTTTCTCCTTGGGTGGAAGCAGTGCCACCAACCGACACCTTCGCGCCGTTAGTCAGTTGGGCGCTAGTCCCGGCCGCGAACAATGTTGTGAGTAGTGATGAGTGTCAAAATGTGCGGCTTGACTACGCTCCTCGGCGTGTGTGTCCTGCTACAGCTGGCGACCTCGGTGCATTCTAAGGTAAAGAACATCAAATACAATACAAATTGAGAAAAAATCGCCCGAAAATAAATTACCAACACGAAAATATAGTTGAAACGCAGCGGTTTGTTTTGTTGCACTTACACAAACACAACAATGGAGTATTTATTAACGAAACAAAAAAGTGGTAAAAATATGTCACTAAAATGAAATACTAAAACAACATTACATTTTCCAAAATTAATAACTGTATTGTTATTTACAGTGCTGGTTGTTTACTTACAGTGGTTTTTATTTGGGTAGATAGCCTACAATATAAAATATTTTTAACTTACTAATTTAAAAGAATTTAAAAAAAAATTTGTTTTGTAAAGACAACACAAAATTACTGCTCTTGTAACTTATTTTCAGTCAATTAGAGAATCTATTGTGTGTTTTGTTTTATAAACAAACAAGGCAGGTTATTTAAATTACAATGTTGAACAATTAAAAAGGTTTCCTGATCGATCTTAAGACAAGTCAGTCGCTTTTTGATGGCTCGAAACTGGACCCAGCTGTCCCTAATCATTTGGCTGTTAAAAGGATCCTGGCTAACTAGGGTGGTCTGCCGTTACACTTTAGACGCATTTAAATGAGCGAAGCATTATTTAAAGATTGTCAATGGCTAAAACAGCTAACAACCTACAATATGTTCCCTTTCAACAGATTCACCGTTTGTTTGCCCGATATTTTTTAAGTTCTAAAGAATGACAAATTTATCTAATAGTTCATTTATTTAGTTAAGAATAAGAATAAGAATTGATAAAAGCCTGACCATTTGCTTATGTACTTTGTAAATGCGCATAGCGGGATGTACTCATGCAATTATTGTTCTACAATCGTCAGGTCAGTTAATTCGTTCGGGACACTTGACACATCCATATTATTTAACGCCGTGAATTTAGTTGCATTTGAACGACAACGCGAACAAATCGGTGATTGGTTTGAAGCCGTTAGTTGTTGGCGATGATAGTTAGTGCAAGTGTAAAATTTTAGTGCATCTAATTCATGTTGGAATTGATTAGCTAACTGCCTATCATTATCAGCTTCTTCCGCCACTGCTTCATCTGGTTCTTCTTGTTCACGACGCCACTCTCTTACAATATTTGCATTATTGGTGCGACGACCAATATTACGACGTGGCCTTTGAGGCATGTTCAAAACAAATATAGCAAAACTGTTACTTCCATTGATAAACTGTTACATTCCAACTTTAACCTAGGATGAAAGTAAACATTGAAATGTAAACAAAACAGTTACAAACAATTAACATATGTTTATCTTATTTAAATGAAACGAGATAAACCCATATGTCAAAAACCCAATATAATTTTTCTTTCAACTTACATTAAAATAACAAGCGAAATTGCGTGACCCTTAAAATAAAATCCAGAAGGAAATTTGCAAATATTTTTACCTAAACATTGTTCTCAGTATTCTTTAGCTGTTGACCACATTTCATATCAATTGGTCAAGCCATTACATTCTGATGCTCTTACAAAGAAGTTACAAAGTGAGGGAAAGTGAGCTTCGCTCAATGAAACAGCTGTTTTTGGTAGGTCTAACAAAGCTACACAGATCATCTCACTCCATTCTACACTCATTCTTCACAATTTTTTTTTTTTTTTTGCTAAAATACGCACCTAGGTGACGTCTCCATCTCAATTGATGATGATAATGGATCATAATGAGAATGAAAAACATTTTAAAACCATACAATGAGTATATTGCTTCGAGATTTTTCCCAAATTATTAATTTTTCTTATTCCACTACGATAATTATTCTTTAACTATGCAATTCTTTTCTAAAGAATTACCTTTTTGATAGAACTTAATTTCAATTACACAAATTAAAAGACACATGATCAAGACTATTTTCTCTAACAAATGCATGTTATATCTGTTAGAAATTCACTTGGGTTCGCACAGTAAAAAAATTAAACACTGCGAGTAAAGTCAAAAAACTGCTCGAGAGAATTTTACATATTGCATGTTAATTTGGAGACGAGCGATTTCTATTCGTTTCCAACGTTTTGATTGACTACACTTAAATTGGTGTGATTTCTAAAGAGTCATTTGGACAGGAGAAAATTCTACTGTATTACTTTAATATAACTACCTACTGAGTTGAGGAGATATACACTTTGTATGCCTATCTTAAAGTTATTAATGTTATTTTTTAATGTTATTAATGTCATTGCTGTCTTATTTAAAACAATCATATTTCAATGATCATCAAATATATATTACGTTTTTGTCAAAATCGTCGTCAAACCTTTGTATAGACGACAAAAATGCAAAATAACCTTTGTACTGACGATTGTAATTGTTGTGTATGCATACCATTGTACCAATTCAAAAAGGTTAAAAATAAATTACATAATATTTACAATCCACATTTGTTTGGGGGACGGTGCAACTCCTGGCCTTGATACGCTTTGACGTTTTACGCATGGTGGAAATCGACATAGCCCCATAAAAACTACTACTTAGTCCAAAATCAACATTATTTGGGATCGAACCAGCTGCCTTCATGTTCCAAGGCGAGCGCATTCCGCATTGTTTATAACGTAACCACTCAGTCTCGTATTCCATTCCTAGGACTCGGACCACCATAAAGAGTGCCAAGAACCAAGAACCACATGTGTTCATGGAACAGTTACTTCACAGCAGAATATTGCCGCAACATCGCCATGCATTGACATGTTAGCTGGGATAACTGCATTGAAAATACACAGTTAAAATATATAGCTTTTCCAATTCAATGTGTATCTTTTACTCACTCCCGTGATAGAAAGTATGGAAATGGAAAGTATTGTTTTCGTCAACATTTTTTAGATTGAGTTTTGGATGGAAATGTCCATTCAGGATCCCCTTGACCACAGAAAACGTACTAAGTACGTTTTCTGTGCCTTGACCCGAAAAGTGTCTTTCGAAGTCATGCCTTTGTGGATGTATACAGAGCTAGACAGACTAATAACTGTGGTATTTTGATGAAATTTTGTGTGTGGCTACTAATCTATGTATTCCCATTATGTTTTCATATAAAAAAATAATGTGGAATTTGTATGTGGATTTCCTTATTAAACCCCATAAAATAACGCAAACATCCGATAAAAATAAAAACTGTTCAAGCAATTTTGATTACAATGTAGTATATTTTAGTTGTTTTAACTCTAAACAAAATGGTACAACCCCCAATGCTGTAGAAATTATACCTCAAAAGCTATCGCATTTTTTTTATTTTACCCATAAATATCATTGTACTCCCACCGCTTACCCATGCATATAAGGGTTGTTGACAAACTAATGGGAAAAAGTATGTGTCATTTGGCTGATTTCGTCTATTTTACTCAGTTGTACACAATAATTTTAAAGACAAAATAATATTATTTGCAGTTCAAAAGAATTTGTAATTCCAATAAGTCCGAAGAGGATCAAATTAGAACAGTTCCAGTGGGCGGGCATTAATTGCGCTCACTGAACTGAGTTAGGTAGTCGGGTATTCCTGAATTGCGCCAACTATTCCAGGGGACCACCCAATACGATCATTAACTGCACCAAGTGGTGGCCCTCTTTGACTGTATAATTGAGTAGGTTAGATTAGGTTAGGATAGGTTAGGTTAGGATAACACGTAAACAAGGACATTCCTTCTGCTGGCAACTCACCCCTACCTGGCTTGACCTTGGCGCAACTAAGGAACATTGTTTGGGACCCTTCAACTCTTCGAGGGCTTAGCGCAGTTAAGGAACTCTTGGGCGCAATTAATGAGTGACCGTTCCAGTAGACTCATCTCACTTCTAAAACTTAACGTGTTTGAGGTTTTTGATGGTATAACTTTTGATTTCGTTAGCGAGAAAACTCTGTAAACTATATTCCTGACTTTTGACTTTTTGATTTAAAACTTTGAATTTCCGGTTACAAATTGTATAGGTTTAGTACATTTATGTAAAATCTAAAAGTCTTTGAATTTAAATTGTTTACAAAATTCAAGGACTTGTTCGCTAAATCGCTTTTCAAAAAAACATTCACTAAGCAGACGGCTTCCCGCTTGAATCCTTATCAAAGACGGTTGCTTTTTGAATGTTCGAAACTTTACCCAGCTGTCCTTGATCATTGGGCTTTAAAACGATCATGGCTAAAAAAAAAACAGCTGATCTTAGTCAGGAACAAAGCTGTCAACTAATTTATTCAACCAATATCATTCATACGCACCATGGTATTATCTCGGTGTTGTAAAAATATATCAAATTGAATACCTTTTGAGGTTTCAAGGGAAATCGCCAAACTAAACCTACATGTACTTCAATATGTGTTTTGGAAATTGGAATAAGAGGGCCTGTGTATTCCTTTGATGGTACCAACACGTAAATCTTTTCGGGCGCAGGCCGAAAGCCACGAATGTTTATCTCTATAAGCTGGGGGGACGTAAGCCACGACAATTAGCGAGGGGTTGAGAAGTTTTAATCCTGGGAACGAAAGCCACGACGGCAGGTCAGGTAGTTGGGAGGGGCGAGGGAGAAACGGGAATCTTTCACATGAACATGACAATTATAATATGCAGGGATGGACGCAAATATTTTGCTAAAGCTGTTTGATGATGTCTCAACGGATTTCAAATACAGCCGTAAGAGCTAAAAATAATGAGGGAGCAGTCAAATGAAACCCTATATTCCATGTATATTATGACTGTTAATCACTTTGCTGTTTTAGTTTCATTTCCTGTAGAATCAATATCAAATATGTAAATAGATAAATTTGTATGTATTGGTAAAACTGTTTTCGATCCAATATGAACAATATTCATTCTAAACTTAAGTGTAGGGTTTTTACACGTACTTATGTGTACGAATAATTTACATGATCGGCCATAGGCTGAGGAATATTGACGAAAACCTTTATCGTATAACTTCCCACTTTGTCGTTTATAACAGCTTATTTTTACTCGGAATAAAAATTTTACTTTAGACCCGCAACGCATGTGGTATAAATATCCGTG